CTGTATGGAACAATTACAGAGTTCTGCACCGAAACCAGCTGTTCAGTAATGTCTGCTGGACCCAGGTAAGATCTAACTGTGAACTATCTGAACAGGATTTGAAGTGTGTGTGTTCCTTGTTTTAAGTCTTGTTTTGCATTTGAAGTATGTTCTTAGAGCACTGTAGCAAGATATCTGGTTTAGCAGGAGGGTTAAAGGGTGTTGGGCAGTGGCAAAGGTGTCAACAAGATGAGCTGAAATTTGTTTCTATAACTGTTAACTGGAAAAACAAAAGTAGTAGACCTGACAAATGTAATTCATGGGTGAGACAGAGCAAAAAAAAAAAAAAAAAGCTTAATGAAGTTAAGTAGATCCTGTCACTGCAGTCACACTGCTCCACTGTACCATTTAGGAGTCAGACCACTTTATTTCTGCAGCACATTCACTGATTCTCATAGCCTCCCTTCTCACTTCCTGAAAACACTTGTTTATTTGGTGCCTATTTTACTTTATATTTACTTTAGAAATGTTTCTCCTGCTTTGTTACTACAAGCATTATAACCACTACAACCTGTTGTACATCGGTTTGCCCTCTTACCTGTTCCTGCCGGGCACCGGGTCTCCTCTGTTACTGATTGTGATGTGCATCTATCCTCAGAGCCAGATGCCTACCCTTCTGGCCATTCACTGTCTGAAAGCGAAAGCTGACCGCTCTAAGCTCATGTTTGAAATTCCTTCTTTGACAATCTTTATTTGTTATTTTATGAATGTAATAAGATGCATTAAAGAAAGACACAGAGAAAGAGACAGAGGAAGGCAATTTGTAATGAGTTGATGACTGTCTCTCGTATAGAAATGGTTACAATTCTGGGCAAAAAAGTAGTTCTTGTTCCAGGCTGACAATCCCCAATAATGCTGCTGAAGGAGGTATTACACCTCTGGTGGTAGAGGGGTTAGACTCTATGCAAACTCAAATTTCTGAAGTGGTCATTGTGCTTGGAGTAACCCTTTAATGGTCGCTTAGTTAACCCTTTAAAGGGATTCTATAGAGTAAGAAATACAAAAGCTGTATTGCTTACAGTATACTTCCTTCTGGTTCCCCACCTTCGCAGCTCTACCCCCATTACTGCACTGTAAGGGGTTAAGAAAACTCCTGTATTGCACCGAAGTCTGTCAGAGTGTGTGTGTGTGCGCGTGGAGCCTGCTCAGAGTGTGTGTAAAAGCGCTGCCGCTGCGAGCCTGTTTCACAGTGTGTGTGTGCGCTGCGGAGCCTGTCAGGAGCAAAAGTGTGTGTGCGCCGCTGCGGGAGCTCAAGGCTCGTGAGTGGTGTGTGTGCGCTGCGGGAGCCTGTCAGCTGGGGAGTGTGTGTGTGCGCGGAGCCTGCTAAGCCAGAGTGTGTGTGTGCGTGGAGCCTGCTGGGAGTGTGTAAAAGCGCTGCGGAGCTCGCCGTGGGAAAAGTGAGCCCTTTTGCCGGCGTGTGTGTGTGGCGCGTGGAGCCTGCTGGGAGCGTGTGCTTGAGCCTGTCAGAGTGTGTGTGTGCGCGTGAGCCTGTCAGAGTGTGTGTGTGCGCGTGAGCCTGTCAGAGAGTGTGTGTGCGCGTGAGCCTGTCAGAGAGTGTGTGTGCGCGTGAGCCTGTCAGAGTGTGTGTGTGCGCGTGAGCCTGTCAGAGAGTGTGTGTGCGCGTGAGCCTGTCAGAGAGTGTGTGTGCGCGTGAGCCGGTCAGAGAGTGTGGGCGCGCGCGAGCCGGTCAGAGTGTGTTTGTGGGCGCGCGCGAGCCGGTCAGAGTGTGTTTGTGGGCGCGCGCGAGCCGGTCAGAGTGTGTTTGTGGGCGCCCGCGAGCCGGTCAGAGTGTGTTTGTGGGCGCGCGCGAGCCGGTCAGAGTGTGTTTGTGGGCGCGCGCGAGCCGGTCAGAGTGTGTTTGTGGGCGCGCGCTAGCCGGTCAGAGTGTGTTTGTGGGCGCGCGCGAGCCGGTCAGAGTGTGTTTGTGCGCGCGCGCGAGTGCCTGCCAAGAGTGTGTTTGAGCGTTTAGGTACCTACCCCCTCCGTTCGCATGAGGAAGGTGGTTTTACTCCCCTTTCTTCCCATTTTCCCACACTATGCCAGTTTCGCCATGGCTGAGATGATCAATCTTTATGATCTCAAAGAAGGCAATGCTTTCCCTTAGGAAAACATTGGGAGGTTTTTGTGCATGCTCAGCAAATGTACCAATCTGCGTCTTCTCATAGAGATGCATTACATTAATCAATCTCTATGAGGAACATTCAGAGCCTCCATGCAGAGCTTGGAGACACTGAACCTGGGTGCTGCACATGGTTTCAGCAGTGACACAGGACTCTCTAGTGTTACTGAGCAGCAATGTAAACTGCCTTTTCGCACCTTTAGGGACAGGCTATAGACACCAGAACAACTACATCAAGCTGTAGTGGTTCTGGTGACTATAGTGTCCCTTTAAGAATTGGACTTTCTCGTTGAAAATTACTGGCTCCTAACTTTTTTAGCTGGCTCCTATATTCCAAACAAATTTGGAAGTGGCTGTAGATCATTGCAGATTCTCTATAACTGCAAAGATTTACAGTGCAGGACCAAGTTGGACAGTGTACCGATGGTGTCACTCTAATTGTCTGCTAGTGCACTGCCTATAGTATCCTATGTATGTAAAATTTTAAGAAATCAAAGCTTGACAAAAATCTGACAGAGAAGCACATTTAGGTTCAACACGTTTATGTAAAAATAGCCAGTTATATATTAAAAGCTGTGTTTTGTTTTTCTAGCTTTCTAATCTGCTTACTGTGTTAATGCTTTTTGTGAATGTGGAGCCTTCAACAACCCCCCCTCTGTCTCTGTGCTTCCAGCTTGTCTTGTTAAAAATATATATTAGTCCACCAATTGTACGATACTGCGTAATTTGTTGGAGCTTTTTAAATAATAATTTGAAGCTTTTGATTTAATGCTGCTAAGCATGAGCAAGGAAGTTAGTGCTGGGCAAAAAGAAAGTGGATCAGCTTCACAGCAGAACTTGCTGTAGTATTAAGATTTTAAGAGTTAGGAAATTTTATTTTAAACGGAATCCATTTTCAGTTATCTTATTTTTAAAGACCGTTTCTGATCTTCTGCAGTTCATGTCACTATCATTTGATGATTTTTTATTTTTTATTTTTTTTTGTGGGGGAGGGAAAAAGTTCAAATCTGTTAGCCCTGCCAACACTGAATTTGTAGGGTTTTTCTGTAAAAATCTTTGTGGAAATAAGATGCATTAACATGGGCACATCGTTGTGACCTTTTATTTGCTACAGGCTTCCTTATTCTGTTGAGCTTTTTTAGTCATACTTGCCCTTTCCTTTGCTTTAGTGTGAATGCTAATGTTATCTGCTAAACTTGCACACTACAGTTTTTATGGGGTATGATGTTCATCTGTATTGTGTAGTTTAGGGCTTGGCATATTTGCTTGCAATATAGTGAAACAGCTTAAAAAAAAAAAAAAAAAAATAATAAATAAATAAATAAATATATATATATATATATACATATATATATATATATATATATATATATATATATATATATATATATATAATATTTTTTTTTTTTTTAAACAAAGCTTTATTTTCAAAAAATAAAATAAAAGTTCTTAATGTAGTGTTTCTGGTGTCTATAGCCAGTCCCGACAGGCTTTTCAATGTAGGCGGTGTTTTCATTGGGTCTGGTCTCTAAACACACACACTGATACTGACACACTTGCACACATTCTGTCACACTCACAAATTTTATTATTTTTTTTAAATCTATCCAACCTCCTTTGAGTGCATCCTTTCCCTGTGGTCCAATGTTGCTGCTGGACACTACACTGCCTTAAAACCCCTCCACTTTTTAGTAGATTAGTAGATATGCCCCCAACGAAAAACATGCATGCATTTAGTTGTGCATTTTTTCATAGCTGATATGCACTGAACAGCTGGAACATTAAAGGATCACTATAGGGTCAGGAACACAAACCTGTATTCCTGACCCTATAGTGTTAAAACTACCATCTAGCCCCACTGGGCCCCTCATGCCTCCATAAATATAGCAAAATCTTACTGTATTCAAGCCTGAAGCTGTAACTCTGCATGCTGTTTGCCTTAAAAAAAAAAATGCGGTGTGCTGACCACAGAAGACAGCCGCTTGAGGTTTTGGGGGAAGGCTTAACCCATTGATAAACATAGTTTCTCTGAAACTGCTATGTTTATAAAACAATGGGTTAACCCTAGAAGGACCTGGCACCCAGACCACTTCATTAAGCTGAAGTGGTCTGGGTGCCTAGAGTGGTCCTTTAAGTTCTGTACTGCATCTTTGGCAATCAGACAATAGAAGTTAACAGCTGCTATATACACTCTAATAAATTCAGAGGAGAGGCACATGCCTTTTAAAACCTAAGGGCTACAAGTGTCAAGCTGACTTGATTTCGTATATTCTTTTATGCTAGATCTTAACAATTATTGAAAGCAGATGTGGTTTCTCAGCCATGGCAGCACTCTGTATAGAATTTAGTTCAGTTTCTCCCTCTGGACAGTAAATTAAACTGAAAGATTTTTTAAAATACCTTTTTTTTTTAAATTCCTGTTTACACTACTGTGGGCAGTTAATTACCAAAAATCTTCTTAGGAGTTCCACATCATTTCCATGGAGGCTGCAGGACATATAGACTCAATAAGGGAAACCTTTTGCAGGCCACCCTGCTCCAGATTAATCTCAGACTACAGGGTGCGCCGCATGAATCACTGACTTAAATTTTTTTTTTCCTGGCTAATCATGGCAGCATTTAACATATGGGTTTAGCTCCTCCCTCCAACCCTCAGGACAGGAAACACAATCAATTAAACAATTAAGCCTACCTTCCCCTAGTATATTAGGTACCCCAGTATCCCCCATACCTCAGTCTTTTCCTGTCCTCCTAACCCTAGGACAGTTTAAATATTTTTTTTTTTCTTTTTTCAGTTTCTTCTGAATTATTTTTTATTTTTTGCTCACCTGACCATGTTTTATATGGTCTTGTCCCTTTGGAGGTCAGCCTCCCTCCTCAGGAAGCCCAGGCACATGTAGCCCAATCTCCATGGAGTTGGGAACCCCTGGGAGCCTGGGTGGTTAGTTCCACAGGCTATGGGAATCCTCTGCAGTCCAGTGGGTGCTGCAGACCTCGATCAGACGATCAGCATAACGGTAAGACGCCCGCGCATGCGCAATGCATCCGACCGGACCCAGAGTGAAGTTTGCCCCTTTCAAAAATGGCGGTTTAGCGATCTCATGACCGAAGTGCGCATGCGCGATCATTTAAAGGTACAGAGCGGGAAATTTGAAATGGCGGTATTTAGCTTAAAAAACGCTCGTTTCCGTTCCCTTTAAAGATACAGTGCTCTAGTAGACTGTTCTTAAAGCTCTGCAGGTAAGAGAATTACTTATATTTTAAAATCAGCATAATATTGGGCTGGGAATACTTTTCTTATTATTTTAACATTCTTAGCCCTATAGTCAGTATGGATCCTTCATCCCCTTCTGCAAGATCAACGAGATCTGCTATAGGTCATAGGTGAGCAATATTTTTTCTTGGTTTCTTCACGTTACTAAAAAGAGTGCACAGAGGGTACAGTCTTATGACTTCTGTATCTTACAGCCCTCGTGACCGGTCCTGTCCCAGATCCCCATCGAGGAGAAGGGAGAAGCCGGCAGCCTGCCCTGGATGTGGAGCAAGGCCTTTGGATAACTGCAGGCTCTGCAGAAAATGCTTAAACATGGCCGCAGGAGAATCTGATCGCCAGAGGTCACCGCAAGCCTCTACCTCCTCAGCCAAGGATATTGCTTATTGGATTAAGCAGGCAGTGGTTGAAGGAATTGCTGAATCCCACAAGATTAAGAGATCAAGAGGGGAAAACTTCAGCATGGATTCAGATCAGTCTGACGATGAATACAGACAAACTTCATCTTACCTGGATTTGGAGCCAATCTCGTCCAGTGAAGAGGAGTATATGGAACAACCTTGCTCCTTGGACTCCAAAGCTATGGAGCATTTGATTATGGCTGTTAGAAGAACATTGGATTTGCCGGAAGAAACCAGAGAATGTTCAGCTTCTGACAGACACTTTGGAGATTTACATAAGAAAAGACCTTCCTTTCCAGTCCACAGCTCTATTAAAGACCTGATGAGGAACGAGTGGCAAATTCCTAGTAAGAGGATTACTAGTCAGGGTCGGCTTTCGAAGTTATATCCGATTAAAGAGGAGGATTCCAGATTGTGGACTACGGTCCCCAAAGTTGATGCTCCTATCATTAAGGTTGCTAAAAGATCCACGCTACCAATTGATAGCAATGCTTCCCTTAAGGAGCCCATGGATAAAAGGATTGATGCTGATTTATCTAAAGCTTTCATGACAGCGGGTTTAGGTTGCCATCCAGCTGTGTCCATTTCGGCTTTGTCTAGAGCCATGCGTTCCTGGTTGCTTGACTTGGAGGATGACATAGATAAAGGAGTCAGTAGACGTCAGATGGCGGAATCCTTAAGGGATATCAAACTCGCCAGTGACTGGCTTTTGGTATCCTCCACTGACCTCATTAGAATTCTTTCTAAGGTTATGGCACATTCAGTCACCGCTAGAAGGGCGCTTTGGCTGAGATCCTGGGGAGCAGACCTGTCATCCAAGAATAATTTATGCTCACTTCCCTTTATGGGAGAAGTGCTTTTTGGGAAACCTCTGGATGAAGCGATTAAAAAGGCGGCCGAGGTTAAACAGGTCATGCTGCCACAAGATAGGCGTCCAAAGAGACCTCGTCTGGACCGTAGACCTTTTAGGGATCAAGGCTACTTTAGGGAAAGTAAGACTTACAGGCCAGGTAGAGAATTCTCAAGGAATTCCAATTGGAAGAGCGGCCTGAATGGGAAATCCTCTAGGGGCAAGACGCAGACCTCTTCCTTTCGCCCCAACAAGCAATTCTGAAGGTGGCTTACTCCAGGTTCCTCGAGTGGGAGCACGTCTTTCATTCTTTCAGAGGGCCTGGGAAATAATTCCAGATGCTTGGGTAAGATCCATTATCACCGGAGGTTATCATCTGGAATTCGACGAATATCCACCTCCACCAAGGTTTATTCGCACAAGGCTTCCAGCCAACATCCAAAAAAGAGAGGTTTTGACTCTTTATGTCAACAATCTTCTTACGGAAGAAGCCATCATACCTGTACCCATAAAAGAAAGATTCCAGGGATATTATTCCCCCCTGTTCTTGGTCAAGAAGCCAGAGGGAAAATGGAGGCCTATTTTAGATCTCCACCAGCTCAACCTTTATCTGAGAGTCAGAAAATTTCGGATGGAATCCATTCGCTCCATCATTCCGGTTGTTCATCACCAAGATTGGATGATATCAGTAGACCTCAGGGATGCATATTTTCATGTCCCTATCACGTTCACCCATCAAAGGTTTCTCAGGTTTTGTGTCCAGAAGGAACACTTTCAATTCCAGGCCCTTCCTTTTGGTATAAGTACGGCCCCGAGGACCTTCTTGAAGGTTCTGGTCACCATCATTGCTTTGCTCAGAAAAGAAGGGGTAGCGGTGTTTCACTACCTGGACGACATCCTGGTAGTGGCTCCGGACCTAGCATCAATATTCCAACACAGGCAATTAGTCCTAGACACTCTATCTCATTTCGGTTGGCTCATCAATTACGAGAAGAGTCACTTGAATCCTTCAAGAGAACTGATATTCCTGGGAGCAAATTTCAATACAGACACAGCGATTGTATCCCTCTCACACGACAGAAAGATCAGACTTCGAGATCGGATAAGGGACTTCAGACTAAAGACTTCAGCCTCGGCAAGAGAGTTTATGAGGCTTCTGGGGACTCTTTCCTCTACGATAGAACTTGTCAGATGGGCTCAGTGGAACCTTCGCCCTCTTCAACAATTTTTCCTAAAAAATTTCAGGACCGACTCGAGGGAGTGGGAGACGCTGATTCGCATTCCTTTGATTCTGAAGCAGAAGCTCCTTTGGTGGAAGTCATGGGAAAATCTCTCCAGGGGGTTCCCCTTGCGGGAAATAGATTGGGTGGTCATTACGACAGATGCCAGTCTGACAGGTTGGGGGGCACATTTAGGCAATCAATTTTTTCAAGCAAATTGGCCTCCAAGAACTCAATGCTTGCCTTCCAACATCAGGGAGCTAAGAGCAACCTTTCTGGCGCTTCTTCATTTTCAGCATCTCATCAGGCATTGCTGGGTCAAGTTGAGAGTGGACAACAAAGCGGCGGCTGCCTACATAAACCATCAAGGCGGAACAAGGAGTGTAGCCCTGATGAGAGAGAGAGTTCCCATTATGACCTGGGCTCAGAATCATGTGGAAGGCCTGTGTGCCATCTATCTCCCAGGGAAGGAGAATGTAATAGCGGATTTCCTCAGCAGACATCGGATAGAGGCTTCAGAATGGCAACTTTCCAGGAGAATCTTCGCTCGGTTGGTCCAGAAGTGGGGTCTTCCCCAAGTAGACCTCTTGGCGACCTTTCGGAATGCTCAGGTTCCATGCTTTGTGTCGAGGAGATACCATCCAAAGGCGGTTGCTCAAGATGCTCTATCCATCAATTGGGTATTCGATCTGGCTTACCTTTTTCCTCCAATTCCCCTCATCCACGCTGTTCTGAGAAAGATCTCCAAGGAACATTGCAAGGTGATAGCTGTACTTCCATTCTGGCCTCGTCGCCCTTGGTTTCCCCTGTTACAGAGGTTATCAGTGGACCTGCCTTGGGAACTTCCAGTCTCAGAAGACCTGCTGATTCAGGGTCCAGTGTTTCATCCGGAGCCTCACAAATTCAGGCTCCATGCATGGCTATTGAGAGGAAGTCTCTAGTTGAACATGGCCTTTCGGACCAGGTTATCTCTACCCTGTTACGTTCCAGGAATCCTTCTACTTCTTCTACGTACCATAAGGTATGGGAAACCTTTGCTCGATGGTGTAATTCCACGGTTCAAGAATTAGGTTCCCCTTCCGTGTCTCAGGTTTTGGGTTTCCTGCAAGCAGGCCTGGAGAGGGGCCTTCAACTTAACACGCTTAAAGTGCACTGCTCTGCTCTTTCAGCTCTTTCCGGTATTCGTTGGGCATTGAATCCTATTGTAATTCGCTTCTTCAAAGCAGTGATTAGGATCAGACCTCCTATCAAGGTTTTCTCTGCTCCTTGGAATTTGCCTCTGGTTCTGCAGGCCTTGACGGAACATCCCTTCGAACCTATTGATGAGGTCTCTATGCAGGTTCTTTCTCTCAAGACCCTGTTGTTACTGGCCTTGGTATCTGCTAGGAGAATGTCAGATATTAGAGCACTGTCGTCTGAAGAACCATTCACTACCTTCTTCGATGATAGGGTTGTGCTACGGCCTAGACCTGAGTTCCTTCCTAAGGTGGTTACATCCTTTCATTTGAATCAAGAGATTGTCCTGCCAGGGTATTTTCAGGAGCCATCGTCTCCTGAGGAAGAAAGATGTCATACGCTAGACCTAAGGAGGTGTCTTTCCACATATATTTCACGCTCAGCTGATTGGAGGAAGTCTACCCAATTGTTTGTGATACCTTGGGGTTCTCGTAAAGGTGAAGCTGCCTCTGTCGCAACCCTTCGTTCTTGGACGGTTCAGGCTATTTCTAAAGCTTACAGAGCTAAACAGGTTCCTGTTCCCAAGGACATCAAGGCACATTCCACAAGGTCCATTGCTACTTCATGGGCTGCAGAGTCAGGAGTTCCTGCAGAGAGCATCTGTAAAGCTGCCAATTGGTCATCTTTAAAAACCTTTGTACACCACTACAGAGTGGATATCTCATCTCGTTCTGATTCAGAGTTTGGCCTATCGGTCCTGAACTCTTATAAGCCTTAAGTGGATATTAAACAGTTTTTGTAGCATGACTTACCCTCCCTGAGTGGTTATTGCTTTGGTAATCCCATATGTTAAATGCTGCCATGATTAGCCAGGAATAGAGAAAATTTATTGATACTTACCGTAATTTTCTTTTCCTGGCTATTATTCATGGCAGCATTTGGTCTCCCACCCTCTCTTGGTTTATTTGTCTTGTTACTAGACTGAGGTATGGGGGATACTGGGGTACCTAATATACTAGGGGAAGGTAGGCTTAATTGTTTAATTGATTGTGTTTCCTGTCCTGAGGGTTGGAGGGAGGAGCTAAACCCATATGTTAAATGCTGCCATGAATAATAGCCAGGAAAAGAAAATTACGGTAAGTATCAATACATTTTCTCTAATATAGAGCCTAGGGAGTCTGAGGAGCAGCAGTTTTGCCAGATTTAGATGCTAGGGGCAACAGAAGACGACTAACTTGTCAGGTGTTTTACTGTCTGTAATGCACATGCATGAGTATTGATGTGCTGGTTAAGCTCTGCCATCACATTGATGACATTTTAGCACTAGGTTTTAAAAATCTATTGTTTTGGGGTTATGCTAAATGGTTTAAACAGGGTTTCAGTCTTTTTACTTGTTCGGTGGTCTGCCCTGCATCTTGTTTTCCTTTTTGATCAGAATCCAACGGTATTTCTCATGCTGTGTTGGGGATTTTTTGGGTCTGCAGTTTTACATAACAGCAGTTTTATGCCTTTAAACTGAGGAATTGGATAAAGAGCCAACTGATGCGTTTAATAAAAAGAAAATGGAGGCCTTTGAGTCTGAGGAAAATGCTGAGCCTATGGGATGAGACCATCAAATACCTTCTTTTGAGGAATGGCAGAAAGAAGAGAAAAGGGTGGCGGTACAAAGAAGAATTTCTTATCTTATCCCTTTAAACCTTCAGATGCTTCTTCCAGGATTACTGCTCATAAGATAGATGCAGTGGTGGTAAAACTGTGCAAACATACCTTGTTGAAAGTAGATAATGTGAGGATCCTTAAAGATTTAATGGAGTGAAGGACTGACCATAACCTTTCAAAGATCTATGTGGCTTCAGGAGACACTCTGTAATAACTGGCTATGTTTTTCTTTAGTTAAATAAGTCTTTTATTTATGTATGTGTGTGTGTATATATTTCTTCTTTTGGGTCAGGCTCGCCACAATAATATATGTCTATATTATTGAAAAGTACTAATACGCAATCTGACGTTCTTTATAAAAAAAATAAGTATTTATTCTACATTCAACAGCAAACAATAATATACTTAACAGATAATATACTTAACTCAGGATATCAGAGAGTAGAGCAAAACGGATCGTAGAAGGCAGAGAGCGTAGTCCTTTGTCCTTGGCTCTATATAGCTCAAATTACGTCATAACGTTTAGTTTAGACTCTGCCATATAAGGAAATTCCCTATATAAAGACCACCTCAAATCTCTTATACAGCAAATTCCAGAGACCTCGTGGTACAGAATAGCAAACACCATCTGTTCTGTTTAACCAATTAGACAGCCACACCTTAATATGTATTTTAATAGGAACATATAGAATATGCAATATTCTACAGACCCAATCCCTCAACAGTCTTCGCATCCCTATCCAGTACATTGCTACAATGGATCAGGATGTGAAAACAGATATTACAAAATGATTGAGCAGATCTCATCTTCTGAAATCCATATCTTAAATGACTGGTGGGAGAATTCTGTGTGAAAACAACTGTTGATATGATCATGACAGTGGCTAGATGCAGAGCATTATGGCTTAAAGTTTTCTTTTGGGTGCAGACCCTTCTTTGAAGCAACAGTATAGTAACGGAGTTGACATCATATGCCCCCTTAAAGAGCCACTATAGGCACCCAGACCACTTCAGCTCAATGAAGTGGTCTGGGTGCCAGGTCCCTCTAGGGGTGACCCTGGCTGCTGTAAACATAGCCGTTTCAGAGAAACGGCTATGTTTACATATGGGTTAATCCAGCATCTAGTGGCTGTCTCATTGACAGCCGCTAGAGGTGCTTCTCACTGTGGATTTTCACAGTGAGAAGACGCTTGCGTCCATAGGAAAGCATTGAGAATGCTTTCCTATGGACTGACTGCGCGCAGCTCTTGCCGTACATGCGCATTCGGCGGAAGAGGGAGGAGAGTCCTCGGCGCTGCAGAAAGGTAAGTGTTTAACCCCTTCCTCATTCTAGAGTCCGGCGGGAGGGGGGCCATGAGGGTGGGGGGACCTATTAATACTATAGTGCCAGGAAAACAAGTTTGTTTTCCTGGCACTATAGTGGTCCTTTAACCCTGCAATGTAAAACATTTCAGTTTTTGAGAAACTGCAATGCTTACATTGCAGGGTTAACTCCTCTTTTAATGGCTGTCAGCCTGATAGTACTAGTGGCAGAAACACTGTAATGTTCGGAATCCAGATTTGTATTCCTAATGTTAGTGTTCCTTTAAAGAACACTTTCTGTGCCCCTTCCTTCCAAGGGGATAAACGGTTTGTCAAGCACATGAATGAGTACATAAAGGTGGCAGACTGCAAGACAGGGATACAAATCCATCATGAATTCATTGCAGATCCCGTCAGAATTCTCTCCAGTATAGCCATGTTAAGGACCCATACAGATCCAAGAAGAGTGGCCAGACTAAAAAAAAAATCTGATCATAGGCATACCTAGTATCCAGAAGTGGGAGCCAAGCTGCTTCAGGGTTTCTATGGCCTGAATTTATTCAGCTGCAGATTTTTAGGTTCCGTATGTGATCACAGGAGGGTATTTTCTAGAACTCAAAGACCCTCATCTAGTAAACTTCTTTGACTCAAGATTTTCAGAGAATATAATAAGGATCAGGTTCTGTAGGAGTTCATGTGATCCCTGCTTCAACAACATTGTATTCTTCTGGTTTCAAGTAAAGAAAACAATCAAGGATTTGATTGCACTAAATACATTCATGCAAGGCAATTCAATATGGAGTCTTTGTCCTTCATCATCGGTTGATTAGTGGTCTTGAAAGATGTCTATTTCCATAACCGAATTGTTAAACCCCATCAGATATAACTCAGATTTTGCATTTGAGAGAAGACTTTTTCACATTCAGGCCTTGCGTTTTTGGGAAAGTAGTGTCTCTCATTGCAGGGACCAGGCCACGCTGGTTACAATCACCATTAACATTGGCAATTTCTACAAGATCATGGGTGGGTCTTAAATCGGAATAAAAGCAAGCGTCCTTCCATGCAAGTCATGATTTAGCAGAGTGCCTTAATCAAAATCAGAGCAGGAATGCTAAGATCACAGAGAATTGTGCAAAATTAAAGTAAGACTCCACAAATTTTTACATTGAAAGAGGTTTCCAACCTGACGATTTATGAATCTGTTGGTTAACTTTTCTTCAAACATAGTCATTACGAAGAAGGCACAGTGGAACTTTAAAGCCCCACAACAAGCAGAACCTGTATCAACCAGCCCTCCTATAATCCGATTAAATACAGCACTGAAAGGGTTGTTGAAGGATGTAGACCTATCCCTTTTCTCTAGAAGAAAGACTGATAGGCAACTGTCATCAGGACAGACCAAACAGGCTGGGGAGCCCATCTGGGGTCTCAATATGTACATGAAACATATCTAAAATAAACTTCTCAAATCAAAAGTAAACTGCCAGTTGATAAAAAGTAAATAAAAATACAAGCAGACCATATCTTAGTGATAGTTTACATCTATCATCAGGGGGACATACCATCAAAGAATGATGTAGACCTTGAGGTTACCCTCCGTGTGTAGCTTTTCACCAGCACTGGTGCTGTCTTAGGCTGGGGTGTTATTAATAATTAATTTCCATTTCATTTCTTGTATAGAGGGAGTAATGGGAGAAACGTAACACTATTGTGAGTGCTGCATGCCCCATCTCTGGGAAGGAAAAATATATCTAAATATCGATTACATTTCTGTTTTCTTTATATTTGCACAAAATATTTATTTTGGGGGGGGGGGAAGGGGTGTTTAACATTGGTGCCAGTATACATGTTTTAATGGACTTTTGGTCAACTTAATGTGTTTTGTATTTGTTTCCAGGTATGAATACCACTGGGCAGATGGTACCAACATAAAGAAACCTATCAAGTGTTCAGCTCCAAAGTATATTGATTATCTGATGACTTGGGTTCAGGACCAGCTCGATGATGAGACCCTCTTTCCTTCAAAGATTGGTAAGATAAAAGCTTGTGCGTATTAATGATATTAAATGGACACTTTCTGCACTCGTGGAAGCCTGTAATCCGAATATTCGGGGCTGACTAGGTAATAAGATCTTTAAATGAAATTGCCAGCAAAAGTATAGATTAAGGGAACACACCAAGCACTTCAGCTTTCTAAAATTATTTGAAAGTTATGAGCAATGTCCCCTTTGTCTTGTTTCATAAAAGTGCTGTTATAGTCTGTGTAATATTAGGTTCAGTCCTTCTCTATGCACGAGTGACACTGGATGATCCCTTTTTCCCTGTGAGAAGCATTACATTTGCCAGGAGAACATAATTTGTGACGATCTCCTGGAGGTGGAGAGGAGCTTTGATGAAATTATAGACTTGCTGCTGTATTAGAGCATTCAAACATAGAAAAGGAACAATGCGATATTTGAAATAAATGTATTTCTAACATTAGTGTGCCCCCTTGAAGCATAAAATGCATATTGCAGGTACCAAATAAATGCATTACATAGATTTAAAAATGTTACTGTTAACAGTGCGGTGTTATGGTCAGATATTGTCCATTCTTCAAATAAATAAAGCCTTTGCTATGCTTTCAGTAGGTTTTCATTTTTGAGAGGGAATTGACTGTATATAAAAGAAAGTGAATTCCAACATACTTTATATACTATTTCATAAAGACAGAATTTGCTCAGTGCAAAGCATTGACATTGAAATTGAACATCTATATCTGCTTTTACCTGGATGTTACAAATTGGCAGGTAGGGAGTTATTTATTTATTTTGGATCAAGAAGAGAAATATATATTTGGATACGGTTTTCTGATACTAGTAGTACTTCTAGTTATCCCTATACTGCAGTCTACTTTGCTTGTTGCTTATCTGTAATCAGTTCTTTGTAGCTGCAACATGCTTGGTATGAATATTTCTTGCTAGACATATCCTCCCAATTGAAGCTTGTACTCTGATACCACATGACTGCTGCTGTTTTGGGTTTCCACTGTATTTTCTGTAACTATTTTTCTATTCAAAGAGAAGATCACAAAAAGGGGCCCAGTTTTACATTTTATGGTTCGTTTAGCTCATTGTTCTGTACTGTTTCTATGATTTATCTTAAAACATTGTTCGGATAAAGACTTCAATTGGGATTTTTCATTGTGGCCTGAAATATATGCACATGATTGTGTGTCACAGCTTGCACCTGTTTGAATTAACTAAATAATTCTTCCTTGTACTTGGTATTTTTTTCAGTCCTCTTAGTTCCCCTTTTATGTGGCAGATTTGTGTGTTTTTCCTCCACTGTAAATGACCTTTAACCATTTCAAGTGTCACACGTAAAGCACAGGGCTCTCAGCAGAGATAGCATCATGCTCAAGTAGCCACCTGTTGTCATGATGTACATGATTGAAATAATCTGTTTACAGAAAAATTACTTCCCTATAATATGATGTGTTGACTGTTCTTGCCTAGTAGTTTCAGCAAGACAAAAAGGATCAGTCAAAACATGCCCTTATATGTTTGATATTTGTCTATAGCTTTGTTTGGAAAATGACAATTCCCAGCATGCAGTGTTGTTGGCACTTCTGGCATTTTCTGTTAATACAAATTATTCCTATTTGATATTCAGTACAGAGTTGTCTGTAGTCATCTGTTTCTTTTCCGGCTGCTATCCCAGAGCTGTGAGAAGAGCAAGGGAGACTATGGTTCAAATGTCTCCATGGACCTTGATGAGGTACATAAAAATAATTTCCCACTTAGTTCTCATCTTTGCACCATACTGTTACAATGGACTTTACCAAAGAATAGCCATCTCTACTTTAATGGCGTCACAGCCTAGCATGAGATGAGTTAAGAGAGAAAACTAACCTGAGATGCTCTATTCTTTTAATCTTCTTCCACTAGAGAGGGATGAGCCTTCTCACTAAAAGAAATGGTAATCAATGAGAAGTAGGTTAACAGAATATTAAAAAAATAAAATAAAATAAAAATGTTTTTTGTAGGTTCTGGAACATCCTAATTAAACTTGATTAAAATGTTTGGATGGGAAGGTCCAAACATACATTTCCATCTGTGTAATGCCCATTGTTTTCCAGTCTGCAAGGCTCTGATTCCACTCCTGTCTTCGTTTCTTATATCTATACTTTAAAAGATTAAAAAGAGAAGTAATGGGACTCACAAATGGCAAATTGGCCATATTTTTTTTGTGTGAAAATGTGATCTCCCATTTGAAATAGTTGTACCAGAAATTGTAATTGTATTTTCTTTTTAAAATGCATTATCTAGTTGTTTGGCTAGCTTATTAAATACATTTTATGTTGAATGTGTATGTATGTTTTGTAGTATTTACAGGGTTGCAAAGGCAAGTTAACATGCTTTACTCAGATTCACATGTATTGATGGTGACTTAGCTGCTTGCGATGCCTTGGGTGTGCTTATGAATTCCTGGGCATTTACAAAGAAATGAAGTACAAGTGCATGTGAAGTGAATTTAAGTTACACTCCATATCTGGACAGTCAGGCAATGTCATTTTAATTTGAGCAAGTAGCTATATGTAAAAAAAAAAGGGAAATGGAAGCTGCATGCCTCTAGAAGGAAGACTGGCCCTATCATATGTATGTATTTACAAGTGTCACCTAAAACTTCTAATAAAAAGTAAATAGCAAAAAATGCCATTGTGTACGTAAAAAAAATAGTATTTTTATTAAAGCTCCATAGAAATACAATTGACAGAGCTAACCTCTCTGTACACATGTCGTTCCCTTCACTGGAACACATGCTTCAGGAAAGCTTTCAACTTGCAAAGCTGAATTTATGCTGGTCAACTGCAAGGAGGCAAGTGGAAATTTGGAGAGATATTGAGGGATGTAATGCAATCATGCTTTTTTTTTTTTTTTTTTTGGATGATAAAATTCCGTGCTTATTTTCCAGGTGTCCCATTCCCTAAGAATTTCATGTCTGTGGCAAAGACTATCCTGAAGCGCCTGTTCAGGGTCTATGCTCACATTTATCACCAGCACTTTGATTCTGTGATGCAGCTACAGGAGGAAGCTCATCTCAACACATCATTTAAACATTTCATTTTCTTTGTACAGGTAAGAATACAATCTGGGTTACAATGAATACTTTTCTAACATGTATATGGCAACTGTTTATTCACACCACTTAGCAAGGCAATGTTGATAACTGAGGGAAAATATACATACATCTCTATTTTTGTTGCACTTAACTGAGCTACCTTAAACCTGTCTTGATATCACTATTGTAGTTAGTTATACCAGCTGACAAAGAAAAGAAGGAAGAAAAAAAATTAAAAAAAACACACAATGGAAGCATGCCAAAGTCCTGCACTCGCAATAAGGAATATAAACAAAACAACAAAAAAAGTATTATTTATGTAGCGCTGTATAATGGGTGGACTAACAGACACGTATTTGTAACCAGACAAATTTGACGCACAGGAACAGAGGGGTTGAGGGCCCTGCTCAATGAGCTTACATGCTGAGGGAGTGGGGTACTGTGACACAAAAGGTAAGGGTAGGGTAGAAAAGTAGGTTGCTAGGATAGTATTCATTTATTTTTATGACAGTTTCAGGAGAGAAATCAGGGTGCAGGGAGAAAAGGCTGTTCAGTTTTACTGGCACATACAAGGAATCAACGGGGGGACGACATAAAATATACTCAGATTTGAGACACTTTGGTTCTTAGTGGCTGTCTTTAACAAGGGCCAAACAGGGCAGCTGCCCCGGGCCCAATAACTCCTGGGGGGCCCAAAGCAGCTCCCCTATGGGCCCCCTGCCCGCAACCAGGACTGAACAACCCACCGGGATACTGAGAAATTTCCCAGTGCGCTGCAGCAGGTGAGGTAATCAGGGCCCCCTGGCCTTTTAAGAGTGCTCCAAACCGGGCCTCTGTCTGCATGCCTGCTGGGAGGAAGTGTGATGAGGTCCCTTCCTTGCAAGTAACAGAGTGCCGCTGGGGAGGAGGAGACACACATGGAGAGGAGGAGGCACTGAGGTAGCCAAGTTCATCAGACTCCCATCAATCTCAGACATCCAGCCCCCACTGGACCCCAGGGAAGCCAAAGGTAAGGAGACAGGAGGGTGGCTAAACTTAAATTGATATAAATGTGTTTATCTGACTGTGTGTGTATCTGTTTTAAATATTATTTTTTTATTGTTTTCACCGTATCAACGCGTTTCAAGTGTAGTACAGTTGATGCGGTTAGTCGCCTCCGTTGAGGCGTGTGTTTTAAAATTGTAGTTGACATGAGACAAACCTATTATGGTTTCATCTGACTAACATGCAGTTGCCTGCGAAGAGGCATATGACTGTGTGTGTTTTGCACCGGGGTCCCATTGATTGTGTGAATGCCACTGAGAGCATGCCTGCTTTTTTTAATTCCCCACATGCACTTGCCCACAGGGCTCATTTTACTATGATTCTATAGCTGATCCCTGTGTCCTCTCTGGAAAGCCTTGTGCATGCGCATGGTGCGTTCCCAAGCCAGAGGTAGCTGGTGAAGTTTTAAGATGGTGGGGCGCCACACTCCTCCCAATATAGTACATAGATACTCATATAATCAGGGCTGTCTTTAAAGCGGGGCAAATGGGGCAGCTGCTCTGGGCCCAGTTACTCCTGGGGGGCCCAAAGCAGCTACCCAATGTCCCCGCAGTCCGCAAAAAAACTTATTTACCCCATGATCGGGCGCTGTAGCCCCTTAAAAGCGGGAACGGGCCCCCCTTGTTTTACAGCACCAGGCTGGGAGGAAGTGACTGCCGTGAGTCACTTCCTCCCAGATAGAGTGAAGGCGCGCAGGAGGAAGCAGTCAGAGCCTCACACTCCCATCTACCTCAGCCTGCCGCTGGACCCCAGGGAAACCACCCTCCTGAACCCGTGTGTGTGTGTGTGTGTGTGTATATATATATATGTATGTATGTATGTATGTATGTATGTATGTATGTGTGTATGTGTGTATGTATGTGTGTATGTATGTATGTATGTATATGTATATATATATATGTGTGTGTGTAGCTGTATCTGCTGCATGTGTCAGGTTGTGTATCTGCTGCATGTGTCAGTATTTATATCTATGTATCTGCATGTGTTTCAATGTGTGTGTGTGTGTGGTAGTGTATGTGTACATGTGCATACATCTCATCATTCAAATCGCCAACACTACACACAAGTACACCCCTGCATTCAAACATCAACACTACATACACAGTCCGGCATACAAACGTCAACAATACATACAAGCACACCTTTGTGTTAAACACCACAAATATATATAAACACATCCCAGCATTAAAAACAAACTACACATAGATGCATGCTTACATACAAACACCCCCTTACATTTACACAAACATACTCCATACAAAGACATGCTTCCATTCAAACACAGTGCTAAATACAACTCTGCAAGCATGGGAAAATTGTTCCGCTACTGCATTGGGAAGTGGAGAGGGTGATTGCATGTCAGGCAGTGGGGGTAAAAGGGCCCTATCAAATGCTTGCCCGGGGCCCAATCTATTAAAGATTGCCCTGTTCCTAGTCAAAGGAAAGTTTATGATAAGCCATATGATTACTGTTTCTGTTGTACATACTGTATCTGAACTGTCATTAGGGATGTTGTTAGTCTAATGTACTTTTGAAGGTTTTACACTATTAATGTGGGAGGGTACAATTTGTGTTTTAAGATGACACGGTACTTTTGGAAATTGACTAAAGTTGAAAACCACCTATTATCGTCATCACATTTTTCTTTTCTATGCTCTGGTTTCTTTTTATGAGCACCGTGGTTTGAGTACCAGGGGAAGGAAAAATATTTTTAAACTGACGTTCTATCATCCAAGAAAAGACGCACTAATGGTTTTAAGATACTTTTATTAAAGGGACACTGTTGTTCACAAAACATTAGCCTAATGAATCCATTTTAGTGTCATGCCCCTGAAGTCTCACTACGCAATTTTCTGCAATTTAGGAGTTAAATCACTTTAGTTTAATGCAGCCCTAGTCACACCTCTTCTGGCTGTGAATCGCACAGCCTGCATGAAAATAATGGTTTAATTTTCAATCCGATATTAGCTTACTTTAGACATTTTTATCTCATGTTCTGTAAATTAAACTTTATTCACGTACAAGAGGCTCCTGCAAGGTTTAGCAGGCTATTAACAGAGCAGGGGATACAAAATTCTTAATTAAACTAAGTGCAATAAAGTTTTAAACATTTGATCTCTTTACAGGAATTGTTTTGGAAGACTGTGTAAGTCACATGCATAGAGGTGTGACTAGGGATATTTAAAAATTGATTTAACTCCTAAATTACAGAGAATTGAGTAGTGAGACTGCAGGGGCAGGGTCTATACACTTAAACTGCTTCATTAATCTAAAGTTATGTGCAAAAGAAATAGTCAATGTTTTAGTTCTGGTGAGAGACTTTTTCAAGACAAAGAAGTGATGCTACCGTAAAGTAACATCGCATACCAAAAGACATCGTCCCCCTCCAGAGAGTGTAAAACCCTGAAAGTTAAAAAGTCCTATGAAGAAAATCTATAATAACAGGTGAGATTTGGTTGACATATGGGAAGAGTTTTTACTCCGAAACAATGAACCCATCTTGATATTTCAACTATTAACTGTCCAGAACACCAAAATAATGAAATCGCATGGATTGTATCACGCTGCTGTGCCTCCTGTGTACCAAGCAACCATGTGAACACAAATCCCTGCTCATTTCTGCCTGCCCCTGCAAGACCCCATGACTGTTCTATATCTATCTCAAGTCTGTATAGTGTAGGGCATTCTTTTCATTGATGTCCCTGGGGGCCACGATATCTACAGTATAGATCAAGTTGGCCTCTTGTTTTAATAGTTCTTTATCTCCCCCCCTCCCATACTCTTCAGTTCAATCCCAGTGAATCACAACATGAGCAGAGTATGTCCTGCCTGTATAAAGTCTCTGGCCGTGTGGGCTGCAGCTAGGTCTTTAGATACCAGACTGGAAGGCCAATGTCTGAGTAGACATTTCCCCCACATGCACAAGACTAATCAGGCACTGCAGTTTATAACTAGTGTGTGGTGCATGAAATATGATGTATTATTTTAAATTATTTGCAAATGTGCTGTGGGAAGTCTTTCCACAGGATTATGTGACTGCAGGTCACCCCAGGCATCCCATAGATCCTGCATTCTTATCAAATAGATTCTTGTTGTATTGGTCTTTGTGAACTAGAATGTCTCTATGGTTGACATTTCTTTTGTGGCTCAGTAATGGTGGGTGTTCCGTTGTTTGAGGAAGGTTGGCATAATTTTTAATGATCACCCAATTGACCTTTCTAGTTCTGGTCAACTTTTTTTGAGGCTGTATTTTAGGTTTGTGGGTATACCACCCGTTGGGGCTTCACATTGGCATGTGTGCACCCTTGGTGAAGTTGGTTCTTGTGTCAAAGCTGTGCTCATATCCTCTGGCTAGAACCCATTGTCACATGGTTTCCCATTGTGTATCACCCTTGGGTTGGAATTATGTAAGATACTTAGACATTGGGATATTGATAATGATTCAGTCCAGTTTGGACGGTGAAAGCTGGTGGAAGTTTCTGTACGTTTGTTTCGTAAACTAATTGAAATCAAGCTTGTCATGAATCCCCAACATTCTCAAATCCAAGAAGTCAATTATCTGTCCTATTTCATACTCAATCTAATAGGTGAACCAAGAGTATTCAGTTTTTCCACCAGGACATACAGTTGACTTCTTGGCCTGACAAGATGAAGACCATTTCCTCTATGAATCTCCTATCTCATTTAATGAGACATACATATAAAGATAATTTATTTACTTGTTCACTTTGGTACATGAATATAATGGCATACATGGAGCCGTAGAAGAACTAGTCAATTGTAGATAAAATGTATCCTCAAATTAAAAGTAATTTAATTTCAATGTAAGTTGTAACAACATTTCTAAACTAAACTCTATTGGATAGCTTACCTCTTGTGACGTTGCAAGTAGGATCTGCGAATGTCTGTAAAGCTGCACGTTACTGTCTGGGGATATTGGAATGTCTCATAGATGGATTTGTGAGAATTTTTCTCTCCCATGGTATCAGCTGGGCAAATGTTTTTAAAGATGAATTATTAGCTGGGGAGTCAAAAGTTGCTATGTAAGCATGTCAGACATAAAAAATATACTCCTGTCAAGATTGCTACGCATTTTGATCCTGTATTGTTTTGTGCGGCTGTGAAGGTGTTAGAGGTATTATCAGTTGGGGGGGGTGGGGGTGTTGGTCTTTTAGTATGTGATGCTAGGTACACATCTGGTTTTCAGGCCTCCTAAACATTTAGTAAATATCGGGATTTAAAATTCAGTGGCAATTCCCCTTTTAAGTGTTTTATTTAAAATAAATAATATTATATAAATACATGTTTTATAAGAGGGGGTTCAATCTTTGGGATTATAACCGAATATCTAAATAAGTTACATTTACTTGTATAAATAATTTGAGATGTCATATAGCAAGTTTGGAATGGGACAATATACTGGTATGTGTGACTACATATACTGTACATGGTTTTTCCCCTCACGTTTCTTTCTTTGGTGTTTTATAGGAGTTTAATCTGATTGACCGCAGAGAGCTGGCACCTCTTCAAGAACTGATTGAAAAACTGGGGTCCAAAGACAGATAGATTTGCCAGTCTGGGAAATTCCTTTCATCTGGTCACAGTATGGTTTCCTCTCTCACCTTCCAGCTCTCATCTCTGTTATATAACCATTAGTGACTTGAAGGGAAATTCGGATACCACTGAATGGGGGATTCTTCGCATAGGGGTCTTTCCTGTTTTTTTTTTTTATCTAGACTAAGTGACAGATTGCCTTGCATTATTTTTGTATGAACTGTTTTATAGGAATGCTTTAAAGGAACACCCCACTAAAGCTGCCATGATTTGTCTGCTTCTCACCCTCCACAGAGGAGTGGAAAAATATTTTGATTTCAGCCATTTTAACTTTTGCTCCTCAGGTGGAAATACGATTGAACATTGTGTACCACTGCTTTAGCTTTTCCTATGCACCCTTCATTGTTTCACGTGTTGTTGTCAAATGTTCCAAGGAATTTGATAAGTTTGGCTTAAAGCATGTAAAGATCTAGAAAGTTAAGTAAAAATGGAAATTTCAAACATTTGAACTATATGGAGTATGGTTTTAAAGTTGAAATCCTCCTACTGGCAATATGGGCCATTCTCTTTCACAGTGATTGTTAGAAATGCTGCTTGCTGGTGTTGAATAAATATATGCAGGGGGACTTTAACTCCTGGCTGGACAATATCCTTAACATTGCTTAAGTTCCCTGCTCCAATTATATTCTGGTGATCATGTTTTTATATGACCAGTTAGTATGTGTTTTTCTACAATGACATGTAACTGACTTCTTGTTTATTCATGGAGATTTTAAGCAAGGAATACTGTGGTTTTTTTTTGTTTTTTTTTTAAACAAACAATATATTTTTTTAAGTACATTCCCAAAGGCAAGGGAAATCTATGAATATACATGAAGATTAAAGGATATGTTATATTATAAAATAAAAATGTACAAAATCAAATGCATGGTTATTTTTTGTGGGTGGGTAACTGACTGAATATAAACATGCTGGAGCTATGAATAGTGTTGCCTTTCTATAAAAACGTTATCCCTCCTGAGACGCAACCTTCAATGTAAAGTCTATATTTGGAGCATTTGCTTAATAAAGTTTTAATTTTCCTCCAAATATGGATTTGGAATAGACAGTATGAACACAAATTGTAGTGTTAAGCCTAATTTCCAGATTATACTTTTTTTTTTTTTAAACAAAATTTTAACTCTTTTCTTAGCATTCACGTTTAAATGCTGAATAGAAGTCATCATGAGGTTAGCAATTTATTAAGGGTTTTGGGTTTTTTTTGACCCACCTTTTTGTTGGGTGGAATGGAGAGATGTTCTTAGATGTACTTCTTACTAGCATAAAAATGACTATTCATTTCCTGTCTTGAAACATTACAGCAGCTCTTTTGTAGTCAGCGGATTGAAAATATACTATCACTTTAAAGTGTCTGGTGGTATGTACTGGAGAAACTGAAATCACAAACAGTCATGCCTGCACACTAGTGCCCAGGTAACCATAACCTGGTAATGCATACCTCCAACCTGCAAACATTTGGGACCACAAAACATTTCACTGTGAAAAGATTGTATTGTGTTCCATAAAACGTAAAATTAGCTTGCGCTTGTATTCTAAGAATACAACATACCTTTTTGTATGTAATTGGTGGCTAGCCCAATCCATAGAAATGATCATGCCTAGCTCCTCTTTACTGAAATCTCTTTAAACGAGCACCAGTCACTGCAGTATTGAGAGATGCTTACATTTAAATCTAAGAAGTGTGTTTATGATCTTAGCACCATTACAACTAGTGCTTCTACTAAATAAGGTTTAGTAGATCCCCCCCCACCCCCACCACTTGTTGGTACATGTTAGGAACTGTACTGTAGCAGCTGTAAGATACAATAGACTTCTCTGTACATTATAGTTTGAGCAGGACAGCCTGATTGCATCTTGATACTGCAAATTATGTGAATCAATGTTAAAACCAGTAGGAAGCAGTCTTAAGATTTCAGGGCTATGAAATTCTATTTTAAAAGTGATTTAACACATATATTGCGCTTGTGCCAGATGGAAGATTACACACTTTCAATTAACAGTGTATATTCACATTGTTAAAAAGAGAACTGTTTATTTCTGTTTAGTTTTTTCCTTTGTTTTGAGTATTGTAATAAAGTTACATATTTTTGACTCTTACTGTATTGTCTAAAATTATTTCATTCTGAAAACTTATATATAAAATGGAAATGTATATCAGTGCAGTGAATGGTTTTTGGTCTTTGGAAAACCCTGCATCAGCCTGACAGTTTGGGGGTAATATGCACTTGGTTGTTGAATTTGTTGGGTATACTTTGTGTAGTATGTGGTAAGATTCTGGATACTTTCTTCAAACATACCAGGAAGCATCACTGGCTGTTAACTAGTACTTTTTTTTTTTTTTTTTTTTTTTTAAAGGGTGCCATGGCATATAGTCATGAATGGTGGGCAGACTTTCTGTAACATTTTCACCACAAAATATGCAGGCATAACACAACTCAATCAAAATGAAAGATGCCCTGGGGCAGTGTAAAATTCAATTTATTTGTAGATTGTGGAAAGGCACACAATACAACAACAAGTTTTTCTTCTTTCAGGGAATGCACATAGTGGCTTGTTTCCCTAATGTAGGTTAGCAGCTCTTCTCCCGGTGAAATTTATACAGCGATACATTGGCCATTTTCAGGTGACGGTGGTTAAACTACTTTGGAACAACTGTGAATATTCTCAGTCCATGCATATCTTTAATCTCTTCTTTCAGGGCCTTTTAAGGGGTGGAGGAAAAAAAAGCATTTATTATGAATTGAGCAGTACTGGAAACAAATGTTTGCAGGTCAATAAACTCAGTGGGTTGCTTCAGAAAGTGCTGTAAAAGCATGTCAGGATGTTTGTGGTTATTTACTAGTCTGGTTACTCAATAGAGAAAAACTTTATTTTGTGCTATTTGGGCAAGTCTAGCGAAATGGAAACCAAGTTACATATTTTAGCCGTATAAAGCTGAGCTGTGACTGTAGCAGAGTAGAATACTTCCATATCTATTTTTTCCCCATAGTAAAAAGTCTTTATTCCTTAAACCAGAAGTTGGCAAAGAAAGCAAGTGTTTTATATGCTAAAGTTATAGTTCGACAAAAAGGTAAGCACCTAAAAAGTTACTTTCTGTTCTGTGCTTGTACAGGAAGTGCCAGTGGCAGACAGACCCCTCCCTAATCACAAGCCTCTGATTCTGGTCTGGAGGGTCTGATATTGTCCCATGAAGCATTGTACAAACGATTTATGGGAGGAGCAGTTACATGCCTCACAGTGAAACTTGCTATCAATTTACACAAAGCCCCATTCATTATTAAAAGGAACACTCCAGACACCATAACTACTATAGTCTAGTGGTTATTGTGACAGAGCCCTTGCAGAGTAAGTAAAACAAACCTGGGGTCTACCAGGAGCCAGTCATCACCGGAGGTGGAAGCTCCTGTACAGAGTATTCATTACTGTTTATTAAAAGGACCATTATAGGCACCCAGACCACTTCAGCTTAATGAAGTGGTCTGGGTGCCAGGTCCCTCTAGGATTAACTTTTTATTTATTTTTTATAAAACAGTTTCAGAGAAACTGCTATGTTTATAAATGGGTTAATCCAGCCTCTAAAGCCTCTAGTGGCTGTCGCATCGACAGCCGCTAGAGGCGTTTGTGTGCTTCACGAAGACCCCAGCGTCCATAGGAAAGCATTGTAAATGCCTATGAGACTGGCTGAATGCGCGCGCAGCTCCTGCCCCACATGCGCATTCAGCCGAAGAGGATCTGAGGCGGAGAGGAGGAGAGCGCCCGGCCCAGCCCTGGAGAAAAGGTAAGTTTTAACCCTTTCCTCTCCCCAGAGCCCAGCGGGAGGGGGACCCTCAGGGCACTATAGTGGTCCTTTAAGCCAAGTCCGTTGGGTTGGTCCGTTAAGTGAACCAGGCTGTGTGTGGTGTTTGCTCAAGATGGATATAAGCAACCAAGCACGGATTTCAGGCTGCCTTACTGACACCACTGGGCTGGCCTACAACTGCCATAAGCCAAAAATACAAAATTGTTAAATTACACTGGCAACATAATTCTAATACTCACATCATTAACCATTCTGTGCTGCTGTACTGGACGCTTAGATTTAAATTCTTCTGATTCAATGTGAATTTCATACATGGATCCACAGCCTCCTGTGAGAAAACGTAGTTGGGGGGGGATTACAGTGTGACAGAAAGATTGACCTATGCAAGCTAAACAGATGCAACATTTCAAATAAAATTTAGAAAGTCTTTGTAAGTCAGTAGAGATGCACAGAGGCCACTGATCTTTGCCATTCAACTAGTAAAACATATGGATGAAATTCTTCTCGGATTAAAAATGGACAAATAAAATGACATTTGAAGTGCACACCGTAGTTTACTTTTACAGTGTGCACTATAGTCACCAGAACAACTATAGTTCTGGTTAGTATAGTATCCTTTTTGTTGTAAACACTACCCCCTAGGGACACCTCCAGTGTCTACTCATCGGATGGACACTGGAGGTGCTTTCTGGGTCAGTGCTGCACTGTGCATCACCGCCTCTCAGCAAGGACAACGGAATTCTCCACATAGAGATGCGAAATGCATTAATTCAATGCATCTCCAATTCTGATGGAAGCCAATGAGGTGGATGGGGGATGAGCCAAGCACCGGTGCTGAAAATAAGGTGAGTTTTCATCCTATTTAAAGGTGGCAGGAGGCTAAATAGTGGTTTTAACACTAGAGAGTCAGGAATACATGCTTGTTTTCTTGACCCTAGTGTTCATTTAAAGAAGAACGGTTACTTCATCTGACTCATCATAGGACATTCCATAGACTTTTTTGCACATTTACATCTATTGCATGACACAAACATTTCTTTTCGCCATTGAAGCTTGATGGTTAATGGCAGAATGAGGTAGCAAAAGCTATGCCACGATCACATATTTACAAACATTTTTCTCATATTTAAGACAAGTCAGTTCCTACTTTGTCATATTCTGACTGCATTGAAATTTTAATGGAATTCCAAGCCAGTCTTTTACACATTTCATAAGCATTCTATCCTTAATAAAGTAACAGCAGGGCAGTGGCCATTCACGCCTACCCTTTTCTCCCCTACACTGTACTTTATATCAACAAATATATAAAAGTGTCAAAAACCAACCTAAAAAAAAAACAAAACACTATATTGACAGAAATACAAACATGTATTCCTAGGACTATAGCCGTGAGAGCAATGTTTAGGCCCCCCATCCTCCTATCAGCTATGTAGAAAGTGCGTTTACTCACCTTTTTCCAATGTCGGCGCTGACTCAAAGCTAAGGATCTCAGCAAATCCAGTGCTTTCCATGGAAAAGCATTGGGAGGCTATTGTACATGCAAGGCAAAACTATGCACCAATCAGCATCTCCTCATAGAGATGCATTAAATCAATGCAGCTTTATGGAGGCGCTGAACGTCAGTGCTGACCCAGGAAGCACCTCTAGTGACCATCTGAGTGACTGCCACTGCAGGGGTCCGATGGCAGAAATGTATTTTTCTTTGAAAAGGCAGTGTTTACATTAAAATGCCTGCAGGGATATGCTATACGCACTAGAACAACTATAGTAAGATGTATTTGTTACATAGAATGTGGCAGCAGATAAGAACCGTTGCGTCCATCTAGTTCTGTTGAGTATAGCGTCCCTTTCACAGTATTTGTCAGGGTCTGCTCTGCATAATCTGTATATGTACAAATACATGTACAAGTTTAATTTAAACAGGACCTTGAATTAAGAAGTGAATTATATATTCTAGGATGACATGTTAAATAGATACTTGCATGTGTCAATTTTATGAGAGGTCTGTTTGATTATAGCTATGTTACCTGAAATATCAACCACATGAATATAGGTGGCCTGAGGAAACTTTGCTCTCAGCACATCCGTTATTCTCTCTTCCCCCTTGTACGAGGATGCAAATAGTCTTGTCATGTTACATAGCGCACAGGACTGTGGAAGGAAAACATGTAGTTTGAATCAAGCAGCATGCATTTATTTATCAGATGCTCATTATGGTGTGAAAATACATGTAAGATAATCACCAACTGCTATAAGACAAAATGCCCATCATTAACATTTAATAAAAGCATTAAAAATAGTCTTGAGACCCATGACCCAGCAGTTGCAGTTGGAATACTGCATTACCATTCAACAGTGCCAGCTACAACAAGCTTTGTAATAATGCAATGCGTGTAGATGTAACAGCTGGATTTCAAACATGCCTAAAACCAGCAAGAGAGACAGGAATTTGGTTTTCCTGATAAATTTCAAATGCAGCTCTGCATGTGATTTTATGTTAAATCATGCTGGTTTTGTAGCATTTCTAAATAAATCATATTGAGTGAATAAGTATAATATATACACAGTATAAATACAACAACTTTAGGAGATAATGTAAAGTATTTAAAACAAAATTTAACCCATTGCATGCATATTTAAAAGCATGCCAAAATAGCTCAAAAGCATATGTAATATGACATGTTTACATTAAATATTGGTTCCCATGTTTAAAAACTGAAGAAAAAAAAAAAAAAGATATAGAGATTAATCTCATAAGAGCAAGCATTGGGGTGCTAGAGTAGGACTTACCAAGAATGGGGTACATTGACGTTGTGGCAGGCTTATGCAATGTATGATCATATAATGTAACTAAACCCCCATTATTTGCCTAGGTGAGGTGTTTTTAAATAAAACTATTACAAATCTCTAAGATTTGAAATCATTGTTTAGTGAACAAGCGAGTGCGCTGGATTGTGTAATATACATATATACATAAAATTACATGCACACATATACATACAATGACATTTAATTGTATATAAACACAGCATGCTTGGCACACCGGTGGTAAATATTTGTAGAAGGTGTTTTTTTTAGACACTTGGTAAAAGTGGATAATTAAAGTTCTGACTAAAATGCCAAAGATAGTACCTGTGGGCAAGCCTGGATTAGTGAACAATGATTTCCTCTACATCACAGGTTGCTTCATGTCCTATCTGTACACCTTCCAAAAAGGTATTAAAACATTACAAAAAAAATAAAATAAATAAGAAAACTCACCTCCCCCTAAGGATCCCTTTCTAATAAAATCAATATTTCTATCTTTCCTCTCCCACTTCTCACCTTAAGGTTCATTGTGAAACTGGCTATACATAGTATTGTTTGATGGTTTCCAATGAACATTAAACAAAGAAAACAATAAACATTAAAAAAAGAAAATCACCATTGTCTTATCTTGTCTATTGTACCATTCAGTTAGGCAGCTTTTAATTTTATGGTGGTAAACAAATTAATGGAATGGGAACAATACATAGAGAAAGGTTACATTTTACAGATAAGCCCTGTGGGTTCCTTCTATACGAATGAGAAATCAACAGTATTTGTCTAATAAACAATGATTTTCTCCTTAGCAAATTATCATTGTAAGTAGGTAGTGCTAGAGTAGGATGTGCAAATTAAGTAAGATTAGGTAATAAAGTAATCGATCCTACATGATATGTTGACCTTTCTGTATGGAACATTTAACAATCCCTTTGTATAGACTATGTAAGCAGCACTCAGCTATATGTTGCACAGTGTTCCATGCATTTAGTACAGTATTACAGTTACCAAATTAAACGGTTAAAACTTATTGTAGTGGAATCTATGCCAGGAGTGCCCAGTTCCCAGGTAAAAGGGAAAACTGTTTCATGATTGTTTCTTCCCTCACATGGGTCCCTGTTTAGTTTTGATGCTTCCCAGTGGTCCTTTGTTCGGCTTCCACAAAGCTTAAAGTGCCCAGATATTGCTGTGTGAGAGAGTTTCATGGAACAGAAGCTGGGGCTGTAGATCTTTAATGGCAGAGAGCTTCTGCTGGCCACTCTCAGGTCTGACTATGAGAGTTATGTGCAACAAAAGTTGCACAGAATTGACATTAGCCAGATTGGAACTAGAGCTGATGACACTTCAATGTATGTGCAGCACTTAATTTTGAAACGCTGCACATAGAGACTCCAGGCACCATAACCAAATCACTTAAGTGGTCATTGTGCTTGGAGTAAACCTTTAAACTCCAAATAATAGCAAAGTGAAATGAAAATGGAAAAATATAGGCTAAAATGGCCAAGATAGAGATATATATATATAGATAGAGATATATATATATATATATATATATATATATATATATATATATATATCTATATAGAGATAGAGAGAGATATAGATATATAGATATATATATATATATATATCTATATAGAGATAGAGAGAGATATAGATATATATATATATATCTATATAGAGATAGAGAGAGATATAGATATATATATCGAGAGAGAGAGAGATATAGATATATATATATATATCGAGAGAGAGAGAGATATAGATATATATATATATATCGAGAGAGAGAGAGAGAGAGAGAGAGAGAGAGAGAGAGAGAGAGAGAGAGAGAGAGATATATATATATATATATATATATATATATATATATATATATATATATATATATATATCACAGGTTGGCTATTTTAACCTGAATCTTACCATTAATTTGATACCAATCCATGTTTATGGAATAACCTAGACAGAAAAGTATTTAGTAATGTAATATAAAGCGAGTGGCACTAATTTAACCCCTTAAAGGACCACTATAATGTCAGAAAAACAAACTGGTTTTCCTGGCACTATATGGTCTTAAGGTCCCCCCAACCCTCAGGGTTCCACTCTAGCCTGGCTGAAGGGGTTAAACACTTACCTTTCTCCAGCGCCGGGCTCCCTCGGGGCTGGGGAACTCTCCTTCTTCCTCTGTCGATATCAGGGCCGAATGCGCATTTAAACAGTCCAAAGAAAAGCATTTCTCAATGTATTCCTCTGGACGTCCAGTGTCTTCTCACTGTGATTTTCACAGTGAGAAGCTCGGAAGCGCCTCTAGCGGCTGTCTGGTAGACAGCCACTACAGGCTGGATTAACCCTAGTGTAAACATAGCAATTTCTCTGAAACTGCTATGTTTTCAGCTGCAGGGTTAACACTAGATGGACCTGGCACCCAGACCACTTCATTGAGTTGAAGTGGTCTGGGTGCATATAGTGGTCCTTTAAGGGCACAGCTCCAGAAGTAAAGGGCCAGCATGATGGAAATTTTCCTTAAGGGGATAATAACATGCTACATGAAATTATCTCACAGCATAGAATCACAAACTATAAACCCTGCTTTGTGTAATATATACACACCCCCCACAATGTAGTCACCATTATTTAATAGTTCAAATCTTACAGGTTTTTGGATGGTCATAATTTTTGTCTCACTTAAATTTTACCCATTATGCTGCTTATGATCAGGGATTTCCCTAGTACCAGTTAACAATAAACAGCACATCAGATGACAGGACCCCTATGCCCTCTAGTACAGCAATCAGTGTAACCTTCATTCCCACAGACAGACAAAGTGCAGGCAGCAGCTGAAAAGCCATTAATTTATGCAGAAACATTATCTCACTGTAACCATGACAACACACTATGCCCCTGTAATGAAGCAGTGCTGGTGACAGTAAGAGCTTGCAGTCTGTGCTGTGTGTCAATGAGATAGACAGAGCATTGCGGTCTGTATCTCAGGATTCCATCATGGAACACTCACCCTGGTCCTGGCTGCATACAGTAAGTGGCTGGCTGCGAACATGCTGCTCATCTTGTGTCTGCCCGAGCTGGAAATCGAATGTCAGGTCAGCGCAGCCATGGGGATTATACAGCCACAGCGTCGCCACCGGATGACGTCACGCAGCCTTCCTGCCCAGATCCCGGAAGTGCTGCAGACTGGAGTGGCCGCACTGTCGGCCGGTCTCGGGACCCGCCCTCAGGGCGCGGCCAGCGCTGCCAACTCCCAAACTAGCAACACCCACCCCGGCTCTCTGCAGTAGGTTTAATTTGCAGCATTATCCAGGAATGACAAGATTACCGAGCTCCCCCTCCATGCCGGCTATGAGAGGAGCTCTGTAAGGACATGTGTGAGAGAGAGAGAGGAGCTCTGTAAGGCTGTGTGAGAGAGAGAAGCTCTGTAAGGCTGTGTGTGACAGGGCCGTCTATAATATGATTAGGACCCTGGGCCCTGCCCCTCCCGCCGCCTCATCCCCCAATTACGCCCAACCCGAAATCACACTGACCGACATACTGGCACAGACACACACAGACAGACATTAAAACATTCACAGATACATACTGACACACACAGTCACTAACAGATATACTGACACACACACAAACACATACACTGACAAATATACTGACACACACAGGCATACTGACAGACACATTGACAGACACATTGACACACACACACACAGGCATACTGACATACACACAGACAGACGTACTGGCAGATACAGACAGACATTAAAACATTCACAGATACATACTGACACACAAATATATCCTGGCAGACATACTGACACACACAGACATACACACACAGGCCTACTGACACACACATACAGACATACTGACATACAGACAGACGTACTGGCACATACACACGGACAGACATTAAAACATTCACAGATACATTCTGACACACATACACTGACACACAAATATATCCTGGCAGACATACTGACACAAACACTGACAGACATACTGACACACACATACACACAGACCTACAAACATACATACACACAGACGTACTGGCACATACACACAGACAGACATTAAAACATTCACAGATACATACTGACACACAAATATATACTGGCAGACATACTGACACACACATACACACACAGACACACTGACATACACACAGACCTACTGACATACATTTAGCCACCCTTCAGGTTCTTACCTTTACCAGGAGGGTGGTTTCCCTAGTCCTCTGGAACTCCCCTCCTCCCTACCTTCCTCCTCCCGCGCGCCCATTATCTCCGATGGGAGGAAGTGACGTCACTTCCTCCCAGCTGGCTGCAGAACAGGAAGGGGCCCGGTCGCGTGGTTTAAGCGCCACAGCGCCCAACCGGGCCCCCGCTGTGCAGGAGCCGCAACGCCCGGTCCATAGGGGCTGCGCAAATCGCGGGGCCCACGGAGCAGCTGCTCTGGGCCTACCCAGGAGCAACTGGGCCCGGGGCAGCTGCCCCGTTTGCCCCGCGTTAAAGACGGCCCTGGTGTGTGAGAGAGAAGCTCTGTAAGGCTGTGTGTGAGAGAGAGGAGCTCTGTAAGGCTGTGTGTGAGAGAGAGAAGCTCTGTAAGGCTGTGAGTGAAAGAGAGAGAAGCTCTGTAAGGCTGTGCTGAGCTCCTGTGGTGGCTACAGCTGTAACTGTATATATAAATCACTAGCACATCTCTCAGCAGTGACAGCCATCATGGCTTCCTAGGAACATGGAGTGGTAATGGTCCTTGAAGTGTTCCTTTAACCCCTTAAGGACCAAACTTCTGGAATAAAAGGGAATCATGACATGTCACACATGTCATGTGTCCTTAAGGGGTTAAAGCAGTGGTTCCCAAACCAGTTCACATGACCCAGCAACAACACAGGTACTGGCCATTTGATAAGGACCGGTTTATGAACCACTGCTTTATTTATAAGTGGCATTTATAAAGCAACAACATATTCCGCAGGGCTGTGCCATTGAGGAAAAAGACAATACAATATAAACAGACCAATAATAAAGGTAGAGGGCAGGCAGCTCACAATAACGAGCTTTAAGCCCTTAACGACGCCTGACGGGAAATGTAAGTCATTTACTAAAGTTAACCACAGATCGCAGGGTTAACTTCCAGTTTGCCTCTGTATTCGAAGCAGACTTGGAGCACCTGATCACGCTGTCCCTGCAGCTGTGATCGCTCTGACAGGCTGTAGGAGTAAGCACATGTGCTGCAGGGACTTCTGATGTGCCTCCCTGTGCTTCCATGTTCAGTGTGAAGTGCAGGGAGACAGATCAGCAGTGATCTTCTCCCAGTGTAAAAAAAATAAAGTTAGTTTAAAATCCCACCTCCACCCCCTCTTTATCCATTTAAATTAAAAATTTAAAATTAAGCCCTTCAATGATCAATTGGCAGGGACTACATTTTACTGTGATCTGATAATTTTTTTTAACCCCTGAGGGTTAACTTTTATTTTTTTAACCCTCAGGGATTAAATTTATTTTAATTAATTTAAACATTTTAAAACTATATATTTAGCTAGCTGGGGTGGGTGCAAGTTAGTGGTGAATTTGGTGTTAGGCTAGCAAACGGTTAATGTTAAAAAAGTTTTTAAAAAAGCTTTACGTAAAAAAAAAGTTTTAATGTTTTTTAAAAGTTCAAAAAATACCATCCCCTTTACCCAGTCCTAAAAAAAAAAAATAACCCCTTCCCTGCCAGTTGATCACTGCCTACAGTGATCAAAATACAGATCACAGTATTCTACTGTGATCTGATTTTTTTATTTTATTTTTAAACCCCTGAGGGATAACTTTTTTTTTTTTTATTATATATTTTGCTAGCTGGGGTGGGTGGGAGTTATGGGAAATTGGGGAATTTACTGTAAGTGCTGCTTACTGCTAATTAGGAGTTAATGGTAAAAATTGTAAATTTAGAATGTAAAAAAGTTTTAAGAAAGTTTTAAAAATTGAATAAGTAAAAACGTTTTATAAATAAAAAAATTTTAAGAGTAAAAAAAATACATTAAAAATGCTCATTACCACTACAACTGGAACAAACTAGCGAAAAAAATGATCCCACACTAATGTTCAAAATGTGCCTTTTGAAATACCCCAGGGTGTATTCTTAAAAAAAAAAATGTACGTTTGTGTGAAGTTTGAATAACCAACCAGCTAAACTACTCCAAAATGGAACATGGACACAGCATAAAACATCAAAGTTTGAAAAAAACTGGAATGGCTGTGTCTCAAATGTGCCCCTTCATTATCTACATATACCTGAGAAAGGTACATACGAGGTATTGCTGTACTCAGACAACATAGCTGAGCAACATATTAAGTATTATATAGTCATAGCACACAAGGTATGCAAAAAATATTGTGCAAACTCACTTTGTGTCAAAAATGCAGAAACAATGCTTATTACCACTATACTTGGTACAAGCTAGCTGCAAAATGATCCCACGCTAAGTTTCAAAATATGCCTTTTGAAATACCCTAGGATGTCTTCTTTAAGAAATGGTATGCCTTTATGGTGTAGCTGGAATATGTAGCCAAGTGCTCCAAAGTAGGACACGGACACATCAAAATCCTCCATGAAAATTCACACTTAAAAACCTGAACTTGTCACGTCTCTTTTACAGCACCGTAACTTCACAAAATAGTGTCTAGGTCATACATTGGGCATATTGTTTTACTCAAAAGATGTAACTGAGCATAATTTGGGGGATTTTATGCCAGTGGTACATATCAAGTGTAAGAAATACTCTGTCCGCAAAAATGCAACATGTATGTAAAAATGCAATTTTTTCCCCCTCACTACAAACATTGACATAAATTTGTGAAAAAATGGTGACAAGTTATGGCACAATATACACCATATAAGATACCCTGGGGTGTCTGCTATATGAAATGGAAGCCCTTTGTGGGGTTATTTGAACAGTCACTGCTATTACACCCTAAAATGAGACATAGGCCCATCAAATCCATCTACGAAAATTCTAACTATAGAAATTGAAATAGCCTTGTCTCTTATATGACAGTGTAGCTTTAAAGAATAGTGGTGAATGCATACAATGGGGGTACCAGTATAATCAGCAGATGTAGCTGAACACAATATTGGGTTCTGTGCAGGAGTAGCACACACCAGCTCTACAAAATACACATTACAAAAACCTTGTTATATGTGTATATGCCAAAATAAAAAAAACACACAATTTTACTCCAATATTTAGCAAAGACTGTCGATGAAATGGCTACGTAAAAAGTGTCAAAATAACCCTAGGTAAATAGCCCGTGATATCTACTTTATATAAATATATACTTTTGTGTGGCAATTTTGTTTTCTGTGATGGATACTAAACCAAGACAAACATACCAACTTCTAAAATTATTTCACATTGAAATTTTATTGTAGTCCTTTTTTATTTTGTGACCTGTAACTTTAAAAATAAGCTGAAATCTTATTCATATTATGTACTCTATAAATCAAGACACACAAAAAATGTTTCAGTCCGACTTGGACTTTTTTCAAGGACCTTCTTCAGGATCAAAGAACATGAAGAAAGTCCTCTGGCGGGACTGAAACGTTGATCTTTAAATGGAATTACAATAAAGCTTTGCCATTTTAATTAATTAAATGTATTATATATATATATATAAAGGACCATGCTAGTTGTTGGTGAGGAATCTAACTGCTGTGGTAGCGATTATAGTGTAACGCTTACAGCAGGGGTTCCCTAAAGGTAGATTCCCCCAGATGTTGAAGAACTACAACTCCCGTGATACTTAGCATGCTTATAGAATGTGTGAGAATGACCAAGCACCATGGAAGCTGTAGTTTAAAACCATCTGGGGATTTACCTTTTGGGCACCCTTGCTTTAGAGTAAGAAAAAAAAATCATAATGTGGAAAGTAGTACCCCAATACACCCTAACCATAACTACCTGCTCCCATTCTCAGTGATTTAAAACTAATAAAATACATTTCCACTTGTGTTATTTGCTACAAAATTACTGTCACTGTAATTTCAAGAATAAGAAACAATTGTTTATAACAAATATAGTTACAAAGTGAAAAAATAAAACATCACATTCTAATTTTGTATCAAGTTGACAAAGTTGAATAAGAGAAAATAGAAGAGTTTCGACTTGATAAGCATACAATACTCACACACCACCTCATTTAACAATAGTGTTTAAATAACACAATAAGTACACAGTAGGATGGCCTGAACAGTTTAGGTTGTAGGAGTCTCACAAAAGGAGGAGGGGATGTACATAGTCTGCTGATAGCTATGTGCATTCAGAAACTCATCTGTACACAAAGTCAAACAATACATAGTCACACAAAACAGAATGCAGATAGTTTAAAAGCTTACTATAAACAAAACAAAACGGAACACTCCAAATACAGCTTGCTAAAGTGCTTTGTGTGTGTTGAATCAAGTCAGCACTGTACAAAAGGACATCTCTTTGGTTAATTTTATAAATGTGCCAATTTCAAGAGAGATTGTCACTTTAAAAAAATGAACCTTAAAACACCTCCCTGGTAGTCAAGACAGCTGGGGCCAGTGACTTTCTTGAAGTTTGGCTCTGTGAAGCTTAAAGGAACACTATAGTCACCTAAATTACTTTAGCTAAATAAAGCAGCTTTAGTGTATAGATCATTCCCCTGCAATTTCACTACTCAATTCACTGTCATTTAGGAGTTAAATCACTTTGTTTCTGTTTATGCAGCCCTAGCCACACCTCCCCTGGCTATGATTGACAGAGCCTGCATGAAAAAAAACTGGTTTCACTTTCAAACAGATGTAATTTACCTTAAATAATTGTATCTCAATCTCTAAATTGAACTTTACTCACATACAGGAGGTTCTTGCAGGGTCTAGCAAGCTATTAACATAACAGGGGATATGAAAATCTTAATTAAACAGAACTTGCAATAAAGAAAGCCTAAATAGGGCTCTCATTACAGGAAGTGTTTATGGAAGGCTGTGCTAGTCACATGCAGGGAGGTGTGACTAGGGTTCATAAACAAAGGGATTTAACTCCTAAATGGCAGAGGATTGAGCATTGAGGCTGCAGGGGCATGTTCTATACACCAAAACTGCTTCATTAAGCTAAAGTTGTGCAGATGACTATAGTGTCCCTTAAACTCAGAAGCAGGTGCCACAACAAGTCTGTGCTGGGGAAGAATGATATGGCTTGCAATAGTTGCTGATACTGGATCGGCAGTTATTGCAAGTGAAGCTTTAATACTGCCCCAAAGAAAATAAGCACAACAGGTTAGATGCCTGCTTTTTGTGGTTATATTGACTAAATTATGGTTTTTTCATGGAGTGTTCCGTCAAGGGACACTATAGTCACCAGAACTACAGCTTATTGTAGTTGTTTTGGTGAGTATAGTCAGTACCCGCAGGCATTTTGCTGTAAACACTGGCCTTTTCAGAGAAAAGGCAATGTTTACATTAAAGCCTAGGGACACTCCTCACACGGCCACTAGTGGTGCTTCCTGGGTCAATTTTGCAGTGTGTTGCCCTGACATTCAGCGTTTCCACACTCTGAATGCTAACGCTGAACTTTCCCTTTAGAGATGCACTGATTCAATGCATCTCTACGAGGAGATGCTGATTTGCCAAGGCGGTGTTCCACTCCGTCCCCGCCTCCTTGGCAGAGATTATTAGAATTGCCAATCTCAGCCTATCCAATGCTTTCCTACGGGAAAGCATTGTGATTGGCTGAAATCATCAATTCTGATGAGCTCAACCAGGGAGGCAGAATGGGTGTGGGGCCGGCACCAGCAGACCCATGGGACACTGGAAATAAGGTGAATAGTCTAGTTATTTAAGGGGAGCAAAAGGTGGATTGCTCCCTAGTATTTTTTACACTATAGGGTCAGGAATACACATTTATGTTGCTGACCCAATAGGGTTCTTTTAATGCAAATAGTATTTGCCTTTAGCAGGTACAAATCATGCAGTTTCATATTATCCTGTGCACCGAAATATCAGAAATATGATGGGATATTTGTTCACAACTAAGCTGCAGCTCTTTGACTTTGCTTGACCAGGTCATGTTAGTAATCTATATTTCACAAATGGTTTAAATAACAAGCTCTCTTTCTATACTGATATGCAGTGGGCTGGCAAGGGAATATATTTCCATGTTTTATCTTGTTGCTGCAGTGTCTCCTTGGGCAAGTGCTTAAAGGGACACATTACTGTATCGGTTTCATTTTCTTTATAGGTTATAGTGTCTGGAGTCCACTGGCACCATAGGGCCACTCTCTTTCTTTCCTGTTACTTTAAAGGACACTATAGTCACCAGAACAACTACAGCTTATTGCATTTGTTCTGGAGAGTAGAATCATTACCTTAAGGCTTTTTGCTGTAAACACTGTCTTTTCAGAGAAAATGCAGTGTTTACATTACAGCCTAATGATAAACTCACTGGCCACTCCTCAGATGGCTGTTAGAGATCCTTCCTGCCTAAAATGCATCCAAACATTCAGTGTCTCCTCCCTCTGCATGCAGACACTGAACTTTCCTCATAGAGATTCATTGCTTCAATCCATCTCTATGAGGAGATGCTGATTGGCCAGGGCTGTGTTTGAATCATGCTGGCTCTGCCCCTGATCTGCCTTTTTGTCAGTCTCAGCCAATCCTATGGTGAAGCATTGTGATCGGATCAGGCCACCACTTCTGCTACCTGTACAACGCTCCTGATTTCGCATTAGTGAATACAACTGCGCCCTAGCACAGATGTATCCTTGTCTATATCTGAAACAAGACAAGACGCCCAAACACAACCTAAGAGGTCTTGGCCTTGACACATTAGCGGTACTCAAAGTTCACACACCATAATAAGATCTCGCCACCTCACATAGTTAGATACACATGAAGTCCCATCTAACTGATGTTATAGAAAATATAAAAATATGCTGTGTTTCTGAATACCATGTTCATAACTCTTCATGATTGTTTTTTCTCTGCTTGGTATTGCTATCGTGGCATACCATGTCTGTTTGTTATCACTCGCACGATACAAATAAAGAATAAAAAAAAAAAGTTTGTACATATGTGTATTTTCTTTAAATATATACACAGTGAAAAAACTGTGAAAGTGCAATGCAGTGCACTAACTAAAGTGCTATAATAGTGCAGATTTGTACAAAATATTTACACACTTTTTTGTGAACTTTGTGCACAATAGAGCACTTACTCAATACGTAGAAAGGGGAGTTTAAGGCAATATAACGTTCCAGATTTAATTTATGGAGTTCGGAACTATTTTCCAAATTCTGAACCTGACCCCATTAACTAAAGGAATTTGATTCTTGTTTGGGGCATCGAGATTCAAGATGGAAAACAAATTATCATTTAAGTTACAAACTAATAAAACAAATCTCCCATAGCTATCGCAGAGCTTGTAGATCCGTTCATATTTAACTTTTTTTGAAACAAATAAAACTACTCCCCTTTGGTTTTTTATCTTTTATAGATTATAATTCCCTCACTGGGAACCTGCCCAAATTTAAACAAATAGAATCCTTAGCCTTCCAATTAGTCTACTAAATTGCAGCAACAACGATTCTTTCATTCCATAGCATATCTATCCTAGTAAAGCGTTTCTGGGCTGTTTAGTCCCTGGACGTTTGAAGTAAAAAATGTAAGACTATTCCCATTACCTAATATCCTTTTCCCTGCCCTAATCTCTTCTCCCCTCTTCCATTATCCCTTGTGGCCCTCAAGATGTTATTGCAGCTGGGTTATATGCTGAGGTATCAGTTGGCAAAAACCCTGTCGCCATTTAAGAAAGAAAAAAACAGAAAGAGAAAAAAAAACATCTCCCCACCCCCCCCCACAAAAAAAGTCTGAGGTCGCAATTCTTCCATCCACTATCACAACCCCCCCCCACGCACAAAAAACATGCTCACAAAAGCGGACCCTGGATCCATGCGAATCTGTCAGGATCCATAATCCCCAAATGCATCTGCTGTGCATACTTGTATCTCCCTAGTGAGTGACCTCTAGGTGTAGTCTTTTGGAGAGAAACCGTAATCTGACTAAACTATAAAGATAAACAGAATAAAAGGAAAGGGGCAAAGAGATGGGATGGGAGATCACGATAAAAAAAAAACCCAACAGTATGTACTAATAGACCAAATGTTAATATAGAGTGTCCCCTAACTTCCTACAAAGCCGTGGGATAGCCATATTGCCCAGAGAATCTTTACGTCCAAGCAAAACTTAAGCCGAGCCAAATACTGCTTACTTTCACTCCAAAAAAAAAAAAAGGGGTGGTGAAGAATTCTTCCATATCAATTGACTGTGATCTCTGTGTGAACATAGAAAAAACTCACTCTAGTGCAATAAGGGAGTATACACATCAAAACAATTTCAATTATTATATTCATATGTGACAAACTGGACCTCGTCACGGGTTCTTGGAGGGGTATACTTGCCAACCTCTTGCCCTGTGACTATGGCCCCTGTGTTAAACCCTGGTTGAAAATATGTGTGCCTTTTTGGACTTATATGGCCACACTTCAAACTCTTGAAGCAGCATTTCAAACTCCTGAAGCAATTCGAAGCGACACTTCGAATTACCGAACAACTGCATGAACCAGAGACCACCCTGGAGCTTGTTAACACCTATTAACAACTTGGAACGTTTCTTACTGCAGTGTTCTAATTCTTCGTCTGGGTGTCCGTAATTCCTATGGACAACCACGAGGTGGCTGCCTTCTTGTTCGCAAGAACGCCGGCAGCGGTGTTTGGGCATGAATCTCATGGAACTAAAATCGGATATGGAAACTCCCGAACACCGCTGAACTTCCATCATCGCCTGCGTTCGATTCTATTCAACTTAGAAAGGCACTGTTCGGTGAGATCATTCGTCTGGATGAAGGGAACAAGTTCCAGGGTAAGACTATTGACTCTGTTCGGTAGTTTGTTCGTTTTCAAACTACCGAACTAGACCGACCACAAGCCCTGATTCTCTGGCACCATGCCTGCGGTCGGTCAAATAAATTACTTCCATAGAATTTCTGAACCCCTGAACTGATCTGGGTGATTTTTTGATATGTTGGTCACCCAGATCAGGGCTATCAGGGGACGTAACACTTGTGGGGATACTATGTGTTTTGGGGTACTTTTGGGACTTTATAGAAATGTGTTTTTTCTGCCTGGAGATAATTGGGTTAATACAGTATCTGACTCAATTATCTCCCAGGCAGAGAGGAGGAATTGTATGCTATATGTGGGAGTGCCATGCATTTAATCACTGTTCTTATTGGTTTGTGTCTTTGTGTTGGAGTCCCCAACAAGGTTCATGTGGGCGTACCCCTTGCATGGGGATTGTCATAAAAGGCCAGTGTGGCACCATTAAAAGTCATTCCTGCTTAACCCTCAAGACGTAGCATCGTCTCGTGGTTGTAGGGAACCGCTATACGGCTATACCACTAGCTCTTATAATAAGAGCTTCACAGCTATCCTCACTTGGAGGAGTCCCTGGATCCAGGAGTTTGGTCCAGGGTGGGAAGGGACGGCGAGACCCCAACCAAGCTGCGGCGGTTCATGGAGTCTACGGAGCTTATGGTCCTCGGGCTCAACTAGGAAGCATCGGTGGAGGTACCCAGTCGGGGTGCCAGGTGGTCCGTCACATCATATAATTATTATAAGCCTTTGGTGAGATCTGTATTATTAATTTTACCCCCCTACTAGCCCTTTATCTCATATAATCACCCCAAGTAACCTTTCAAAACAATTACAAAAGAGTAAAGATCACCTATCTACAGTATTCACTATGGTATACTTATCTTTATTGATCCCCTTTATCCGTATTGTCACTCTAGTGCTGATAGTGAGTATAACACACTGAAATAGATTCAACTATTAATTCCATAATGATTTAATTTATCATATCCCTATGATAGTATTTATATCAAACTATCACCCATATCCCGCAAAACATGACCCAACAAATGAAAATTCAAACCAATAATATTATATACATTAACTTTGTCTTAACCCTTTGGTGGATATTTATATCGACCTATTACATGTGCCACATGATTTGTACTTATTGTGTATTTACCGCCCTACTACCACTGAACTTCATATGTTCACCCCAAATTCCAATTAGTCTCTATTATCCAGAATAATCATGTATCTAGTGTTACTATATCATACACATTAACCTTACTTCCCCATCCCCCCAAACGTTGTTCTATAAGATGAGAAATGTCTCTTTCAGATGACATATGTTACTCCATTATTGGTTTTGGTTAAAAGGCATTCAACTGGAATTTACATTAGACACATGTAATTTTAGATTATGAGGATGAAAAGCCAACTATGCTTTAGACTTGGCTGGTGATCACAAAACAAACTCAAAAAGCAAAGATGAAACTATAGGTGTGGATTGCCTTTGCAAATATTTGCTGTCCTGACAGACTCATTGAAGATGGCCATGAAATCACAGGTACTCATAACTTTGGATACTGCTGGACAAAGAACAGTTTCTGACATTTTTTCTCTATTGAGCTATCTACATTCAATACAATATATAAATAGACCTTCAATTTGACTGCTTACATATTGATAGTTTTCATTAAGTGAAATCCTTGTAGAGATCTACTAGTGCAAAGGATAAATTATTCTCTACATATGTATACAGTCAGTCATTCTCCATCAAGAGGGTACTTCGACACTACATCTCTCCAACTCTTTGTAACCACACTGGCCTACCTGCAACTCAAATGGCTAATAAAATTTATTTTTAAAAATGCATGAAGACTTTCTTTTCTAGACCACAGATATCACTTATCCAATACTTTGAGTGATGGAGAATAAGTGGGAAAAATGATACAGCATTGTTAAATGCATCATGTTTTACTAAAACTTTTGAATGTCTCTTGAATTTCAGGTAAGGGGTGTACTAAACTTGAGTATTGTATCTTAGATCTTGGTCAGTGCGGTTTAGGACTGCACCATGTGCAAACTAGAATGTTCTCAACTGTACATTACATACGCTAGGCCGTATGTAACGAAATAGAACTAACCATTCATTATAGTTTGTAAAATGAGGATTAGAAATAAAAACTTAACATTAATTGTCCAATGTAAGGAAATTAAAAAAAGCAACACAGAGTTTGAGTGCAAAAAATAAATATAAAATTTATTAAAACACCCACAATATTTTAGTTATCAGGAATAATACAATTCACAAACAAGCAGTTTGTGAAAATTATAATAAAATACAAAAAATTAAAAATCATAATAAAAGAAACAAAACAAATCAAAGATTCATACTTGCAATTTTTTTAGGCATCCTAAAAATAAAAATTACAGAACACATGGGTGGGGAGAAAATGGAAGAAAAAAAAATACAAAACATGGAAAATTATACAAAACAAAAATATCAGCATCAATTTACTGTACTAGTCAAATCTGCCGTTTAATACACATTAATCCTACTGCCTTCGGACATTGTAAAATCTACCATTCATCAGATCAACCCCCAAATAAACTGAATTTCAAGTAACCACAGTCACGAGTTGAGATATATTCAAGTGTGGCTTACAAGTTTACCTCCATTGGAGAATCTTGTAACCAATGAATTTAAAGACATGAAATCAAATACATCAACTTCTATTTTCTAACTATCTATACTGCATTTTTTATTTATGTCACAAAACAAACCTGTTTTTCCGTATTTCTTCTTAACCCTTTTAACCACTGCAGGATTCTAAAACACAAGTTGTGCCACTCCTGTCCAGTGTTGGAAAGAATTAATACAATTACATAAAAAGATAAAAATGACGTGCCACATCTAAAATGTACATTTATGATTTTTTTTTTAATTTAGATTTTTTTAAAATTATTTTTTGACACAATGCATGAAAGAGGACAAAGCTATTAAAAGCAGAATTGTGTTAACGTTAAAGTATATGGAGTCTTAAAATGAATCCCTGAATAAAAGATATTGTGATGGTGCCAGGTGGTAAAATCTGTGTAATTATCCCTGATTGTGTAATTAAAGAATTATAACACAAACAACAAAATGCCTCTAAGGTCACGCATTTCATCCTACCAAGAACTATTCATAGGGAAAAAACTATTTTCCAAACAGCTATACAAAGCACTGCATTTTGGGTTAGTGCAAATGCCTTTTCTGAATGCACATAAAATAAAATGAGCTGTGGCTAATGAGTGTGCCAGATAGGAGTAAAAAGCACTGTATTCAAATCAAACAGGTATTTGTTGTATATACACGTGTGACTACATAGAGATATGTATATAGACACACCCACATTACATATTTTTTTTCCAGCACTTGCCTTCTCTCAAGCTTCCTACACACAAATGCTTTTATACATAACATTTTATCTATTGTTTGTCCTGTCGATCACCCATATGCAAATGCTTTGCAGATTTTACCTTGTAGCAAGAAGCTCATTAATAGCATAATAAAAGAGAAAAAGCAGTCAGCTTAAAAAGAACCACGTATGATTTAAAATCACTTGCTGAATTACTTTGGAGCGTACACAAAAATGATATTAAAAGTCCTAAGAGGAGGAACACACACACACAGTTACAATACTTCCAAGTTATCTAAGATTCATTTTAGAGTTGACCATAATTTTTTCCCTACACAATTCAGATACCGAAGATAGTTTTCACAGCAGGGTTTGCAAACATGATGATAATCTAAAACCTCTGTTGGCATGCTACAAATTGTCCATGTCTGGGTTACAAGTTTTTGAATATATCTCTTGAAAATGTTTATGCCTTTTCAGGTTAGATCATGTGAGTAACCTGATTAAAGAAGTTTCAACTAAAAAAAATTACCTAAAAGGGTATTTTGCCTGTTTCTTGAGCACCTGTGTCTTGGATAAATATGGAACAGTGTCACAATACAAGTTAATCATGAAGGAACAGTGATCAACAGTAATGTCATTTTAAAGTGTCATTAAAAGCATCCCTGATTTTGGTCATCTTGATTTTTAACATGAACCGATTTCCTACAAAATCTAATTTAAGTTTGGGGGGGGATCATATATATAGAAGTTAGCACCAATGTTATAAGGAAATATAAATGTTAGAAAGAATGATTAATACTGAGCAATGATGCCTAAAGTTATTATGGTACTCATGAAAGGGAAAAATAAAACAGCATAGGAAAGATGCAATTACAAGACCCATACAAAAGTATCACACGTACATAGCCAGTGTCATCAAAAAGGTCCACACACATTGTTTTTATTTAACAAAAATAAAAATAAATTAAAAATAATAGGTTGATAAAATATCCCACAGACACCTCTGGAATTTGATACAATCCCAAATGCACAAAACACATACTAGCACAAGTGACACTTGTATGATTCGTTACATACACAGCTGATCTAGGCTAACACGTCATCCACTAAAAATCATTTGAAGAGAATCTATCACAAAAATATAAAGAACCATATTTGTTTTTGCACAGCTGTATATAATTACAAGCAACAATAATTATTATATAGGTGCCAATTTATATAAAATACAATGTTTTTTACTATACACCAAGGAGCTGGATACACTTTTGTCATGTCCCAATCCTCTACGTGTACCAAGCTTCCAAAAAAATAAAATTAAAATAAGTTTGTGGTAGCAAAAAACAAAACAAAAAAACCCAATATTTTGTGAACACTTTTTTTTTTATTGATCTGTAGTTGTCAGAACAGCAGCACCTTATAATCTCAAATATGCAAATGATATAATCCTCCACTACTTGAATGTGTCAATTAGTCTTTTGGAGCATAAAGGATTTCACTTTATACAATGATTCCAGATATATAAATAAGTGATTGTATAGATATACCATAGAATAAATATGAAATTTAGCTTATATTTAGCACCAACAACACAATAATGCTACATTTTAGAATTACAAAATACTTTGTTTTCATGATAGATTCCCTTTAAGCTGCAGAGACAGAGTCCATATCTACTAATAATCATGCCATAATTACTTTAATTACCCACTTTCAACTTTTTAAAAAGGAATTAATCTTTGCAACAATGCTACACTTCTGTTTTCTCAGTCTAGTTAAAATAAAAATTACTGATACAAAAATGGAAGCTTCCCCTACTGCTAACCAAAAAAGAAAAAACAAACAGAACTAGTTGACCATAATTGTGTCAAATTGCAGACCATTCAGAAGATATGGGAATATATACTTATGTGTCTCTGTTTGAGGAATAGCTTTATAATCTGGCATTAATCTGTTGGCCCAAATATGAACTGGCTGTTTTGCAAATGAATTTGCAAATTAGATAGATGCAGGCTGTATAATTAGAAAAACAAGTATCTAATTCCAATCAAATATGGATTTTACTCTGTGGTGAATTTATTGTTTCAGCCGGTTATATTATTTCCCCAATGTGTCCATCGTTGTGAATTCTTCATGTTTGTTCTTCAACGTCTGCCATCATTCAACCAGATATGCAGGTTTTTCCTGAATTTTGTTTGCAGGTCTATTTCAAACAAATTAAGCAGCAGGCCCAAATTTCTATTGCATGTATATCCTAAAGAGTTCAATCACATTCCCTTACAACTGCCATGTTAAATTTTAGTCAGTCTCTGTTGTCAGGACAGTCCTCCACTGCTTCACCTCCAGCGACTTTCCTGGGTTTAAAATTACTTTTTTGTTCTCAAAGAGTTATTGACTATAAGCTTCATAATTTGTGTTTTAGTACTGCTTTGTCATAGAAATCTTCAGGACCAGTTTAATTTTAATCTGGTCCCTAAACATCTTATGCGATCATGGAATGTCCTGCTTACTATTTATTACTGGCATTAATAAAGCGCCAACATATTCCGCAGTGCTGACTAGTTTAGTTGATTCTTATTGAAGGATTCTATCCCACAATAGAATATATGGTTACAACTGCAAAAATGGTCTTTGGTCCTTAAAAGTTTAAACCAAGTCTCCAGGAACATTTTGATGTGATGATGTGTGACTCTAAATCTATTTTCAAACATCTTTGTGTCTATTTTTCTGGGTTAAGTTAGATCTTTTCTGATAAGGAATTTGATTTGAACTGGATGTTTGCTTGGCATACAAAGGCGAACAAAGTCTGGTGGAATAGCTGCTACAGATATTTTCACAAGTTTCAATCCTTTAGCAGATCTTTTTCTTGAAAACAATATATATATATGACATAACTATATATATATATATATATATATATATATATATGACATAATATAAATGCAATTAAATATACCTTAGTCAAAAAATGGCCTTATAGAAATGTAACAGTATGGAAGTTGCTTATATAAAATCTAAATATTTCTCATAGGATGGCTGCAATAAATCAGTAGTTTTTACAAAATCTCAATCAAGGTTTAGTTTTTCTAATAGCAAGCACAACAGAAGTACGGACATGATATAGTCTGAATTGTGTTGAGAATTGTTTTGGGTACATCTGTACACTTGTATAATAGGCATGTAGTAACGTGCTGAGATGTAACTACCAGTGGAAAACCAATTTTTTTTATATTGACAAGAAAGCTACATTAGGATGCAGTTGGATACACACAATTCTTACTATACTGCCAGTTACTCAAAAGGGTAGCCTAAATCATGCCCCCAAACCAATGCAGAAAAACACAGAATCATAGCAGTTAAGGTTGAAAAAAAACTTTGTTAGTGCGTCTAGTTCAGCCTTTGACTAACTCATCATAGATGTTGCGGTTGGCCTCAGAGTATACCACAAAAATTCTTACACCTTTCGGCTAAGTTTCCTGATTAGAAATTTTACACTTAATACAACACAAACAGACTGATAAACCAAGAAATAGCAAAAATTGCATACCATGCACATAAGGATAAAATATTAGATTTAACAATTATATTTTGCACAAATAAGTCTAATTTATGTAGGTACAATACGAAGCAATCAGAAAAAGGATAGCATGATTTCAAAGTGTCTGTTAAAGAGATATTAAAATTTAATTCATATACCTGACTTCATATTGATTCAAAAGTCAATGCATGTTCTAGATCACAGCAGATATCGTGTTGGCCCAACCAGCTTATTTCTAATCAGTACTACAAAAATGTTATAATAGAAACATCTCTATAGAGTGTAAAATAAGATATTGTCAGTGCTATTAAAATGAGTTTGGGGATAAATATTATCTAACTATTGAAGGGAGCTTAAAAATAAAAAGAACATATACAAAAAAAATATAAAAATTAAAAAACAAACCCCCACAAAAGGTTATTTTAAAATGGATTCAGCTGCCAAGCTATGCATAGCAAAGAGTGCGAAGCATGTGATTTCTAACCCCTTTCAATGCCAGCCGTCCTTGTAGTTAATATCTGGCTGCTAAAGGGTTAAACATGAGACTTGAGGTAGGCTAGATGTAGTGTAAAACATTGATTAAAAACACAGCCAGAAAAATCTGATTTTCCAAATCCTAAAATACATGGATTCATTTCAGTCTCTCGTCTACTATCAATCCGTACCTTTTACATTAGTCACCAGTTTGAAACTGTAATAATAATAATAAAGAAAAAAAAAAGTAAAAAAAATAAAAATAGAAAACAATCACAGGTAAAACATTATTAAAAATGATTGGCCATATGCTACAGACTAAATCACCTTTGTAGAAACAAAAATGAAAAAAATGTGTGGGTGTTATTGTATTAGAAAACAAAAACAATGGGGCAGACAGAAAGTTTATATACATTCTGCATCTTCTGTCTATTGTATTATCTACAGCGGTTTAGCCGAAGGCTGCCATCAGCATTATATCAAAAATCCACAGGTCATCATGATGCATTTTTCACTGAGAAATAAGACCACTCTGCAGGGAAATAAACCAGGAAAAACTGTCCATTAACCCAACCAGAAAAAAAATATATATTGTACTTCTTTTAATCTAGACTGGATTGTGATAAACACTATATACAATTTATTGTCTCTTCTAAGATAGACTATATTTTATCTTATTTCATTCAGGAACACACTGGAGACTGCATGAAACAATACTGAGTAAATAGCTTTACAGGTCAGAAAATACATATTCATTTTTACAAGTGAACTTCCATTTATTTGGGGTCAAATTATCAACCCCATTTATATAACCCAGTAGTTAAAACACCACTTGGTATTTCCATGAGTAATAATATAACTGAGGAACAAATTATCAAAAATAATTTTAAATCTGCATTTTCCCCCCTCACAAATTAAGATATTTACAAACAACCTAAACTTTGCAACTCATAATTCCAGTCTCCTGAGTTACGTAAGAATTTCTCTGTAAGAATAGAACAGCAATAGGGCATGCATACTGGGGCATAATGGGAGTCTGAGTCCATAGCAGATGGAGTGAAGGATACACAACTGAAGGTTCGGTGAAAAATAGAAAACAATTAGGGGAAGTTAAATATTTTTGGTAAGAGACATTTTCTCAACAATGTGCATGTCTGGATATATGCAATCATTTATTTTATATCTATTTAAATATATTTAAAATTGAAACCAGATGTGAATATTTACATTAAAGATTTAAATCCAATTTAATTTAAACCTGTAAAGGGTGCAAACATTTACTATTTCCCCCAAAATAAGTTTTTTTTATTTTAAGAGAAAAAGGAAATCTGGAAATTTCACAATACTTGGAGTAGGAATGATCTACAAATACTAGAGAATAGATTCATATTTTTAAGAACAAGTACTATACAAGGCCCTAAGAAATGGTGATGAGAAATACTATAATTCATTTTGGTCCCAAAATAAAAATATAAAAACATTAAATAAAAAAAATAAAAATCCATCCAAAGATAATGAGAAATAAAAAAACTACTTTACGGTAATGCAGATACAAGAATGCAGACAAGGTCACACAACTTGTATTGGTCTAAAATGTAATATCCTAGCCCACTTAATGAAAGATCTGACTGAGAAATTAATATTTTGGTTTTGCACTGAATTGCAAAAATGGCCTTAATTAGGGAAACTGTCATTAAAATTATGTTGGGACCGTTTAAATTATCACTAATTTCAACTTTATGTGGTGCTATAAAATAATTATCCCAACAGCTTTTCGTTGAATATACATTTAAATGGGTGTAGCTCAACATTTGTAACATGAGTAATGATTTAAGATGACATGCCAATGACAAGATATCTAAATGGGAGATTAACAAATCATTAGATTAAATATATCATGGGCAGATTAGGGCCATGTAACTTAATGAGGCCCTAGTAAAATCAAAGAGTAATTTATTGAACCTTTCTAGTGACAGGTATTGGTTATGAAAATAAAACCCTTGACAAATTATGTATATTATTACAATAACATGATGGATAGTTACAAAATGTAATGTGTCAAATACAGGGAAACTAGTGATTTTAAGAAACATTAATAGCACAGTAGTGTCTATCCTGTTTTAATGTAACAAAGTGTTATTCAATTACTTATAAACTTGCACACAAAGTTCTTTAATAAACTCTAAATTTTTGTGAATTAAATCCGAATGACAAAACAGGCTAAAATAGCTACGCTTTAACGATAGCCTATATGGAGAATTTATCCTAATCAGCTATTCTAGCCTTTAAAAAAAATAAAAATAATAATACAATTTGTGTTTCATTTTCCAAAAATTTAAAAAATATATAAATTTAGTGACTAACCCTGTAAGATGGAAAATATAATGCACTCACTTAAATTACATGGTTTTATTATAGCCTGCTCTTAAAAATGTATATAATTACTCAGCTCCGATTGAAAAACTTTGCAACACTTAGATTATCCTCTAGAGGGCAGTAAGTGAGTTTACTTCCACTACTAATAGAAATTGAAAACTGAACAGAATGCTGGTGTGAGCTCAATTAAACATATGAATAGCAATCAAAGTTAACTGTGACTGGTAAAACCTAACATCCATCAAGTACAACCGATCGCACATCTGCATACCAATGAAGAAAAAAACAACAAAACACAATCTGTACACTATGGCTGTGTTAAAGATACACCTTAACATCATATTTTTTTGAAGACACAAACGGGCTGATTTAAGTTATTTCCGTATGCTAGTTAATGTGGTATATGGATCACAACTTTCTAAACTCTATATAGGTAGTGCAGATTGCTTTCAACAGCCCACTGTCGACTGCATTAGGCAAGTTTCTAATCTAGGTTCTATGTGCTGTGCACTGAAAGTCTTAAAGGTACACATACAACACCTCTTTTGGTACATATATTTCTAAGGTGTGCGCAATGCCCCTTAAACATGACAGTCCAGTTTAAATCTGCAACCCTAATATAAATAAACCCTCGCTATAGGCCAAGTCAAAAGTCAAGAGTCTAACATGTATTTGATGATTCCCTACTTTTCAATCCCTCTCTATATCTGGAACAACAGAGTTTGAAAGCCATGTTTAAAAAATTATTTATTAATTGGCATTTAAAAACATGTTTGAACAACCCGTTCGTGCCATATTTCAAGGCATTGTCCATTAAAGGATCTTTACTTATAATACAGGCAAAGTGGGTCATGATTATGTGCAATGTAAGTTCCTTTATGTGTGTGTAAAAGTTTAAGGCAGCAGATTTTGGAAGCAATCCATTTGTTTGAAATAAAAAAAAAGAAAAAAGAAAATGCAGAGTGATGCAGTAACAAGCATGACACGGCAAAGCGATCAATGCAGTTTACTACCACAAGATTTACAGTACATTTGCTCCCTATGATGGAATACTTTAAAAAAAATATCTAGCTGGGCAAAAAAAAAAAATAAAAAAAAAAATCGCAGAAAATCAGCTATTGGCTGGTGACCCAACCGTTGACCTTTGACTTGCCTCAGACTGCAAGTGTACAGATACTCAGTATCATTTAATAGTGCGGTAGACATTTCATGGGGTGAAGTGGCATCCTTCTATTACATTAACTGCTGCTCTAGGCAAAACAAGAGCAACACTTTGCTATCATACAAAATAAAAAAAATAAAATAAATATATATATATATAAACATATATATATATATATATATCTCAATATATATGCAAATATAGTAATTGGTAGGACGGACACACTGCGTTAAATATTCTAAGTCTATGTACAGTTCTCCCATTATCGATTTTAAACTGTTTGCAGCAGGATAAAAAGTGCTTTAAAATAAAGTTATCGGAAAAAAAAAAAATCTATTTACACTGACGGACTCTGTCCCCATGCATTTCAAATAAAAACTAAGACAGAAACAAAAAAAACAAAACAAAAAAAAAACAAGAAACCAAGACCATGTTTCTTGGCCTTGAGCTGGATTTACATTCTGTGTGACATGAATCCCTTGATAGCTGGCGTGACTAACTGTGCTGGTGTAGTGCCTGTATCGTAATTTGTCTGGCACATCCTGGCACTCATTTTGTCCAGCCTAGAAACCTTTAAATTCAACTTCCTAAAAACAAAAAAAAACAAATCTAAAATAGTCTTAAAATTGTCTATACTCCTTAAAAAATACTTTTATTTATGCTTAATTTTTTTTCATTCCTTTAGCTTTGTAGCACCTGCAGTTTCAATGCAACCCATTGTTTACCCCCCCCAATTAATAAAATTAGCAAATACTAAAAATAGGTGTTACGGTCATAGAGCACCACTGATTTGCAATGGAACTTAGGAGAGTCAATGAAATGGCCAACACATTCACAATGATCTATCTTAAAGCAAACAGGTCAAGACAGCATTGTTAAAAAGAAGAGCTGATCAGTGTAACATACAGAAAAGAAAAGGTTGTTTGGTCTACATGGTAGGCCCATTGACTTACATTAAACAGAAAATGCCCAGAACCCAACAGCACCATATATACAACACAATGGTATCTATTCACAGTTTTCATTTGATGGGAGATACAGCAGCCCTTTTAGGGGTTTTACAATCTGAAAAGCGCTATTTTGTTTCTGTTATTTGTTGTTGGTTTATTAATTTTTTATTTTTTTTATTATAATTTTCTTTGCAGTGGCATAAACTCAGATACAATTATAAAGATTATAAATCTTACATAGATTTTTTTTATATGCCCTGGAGACAGCAATACAGATGTAGAGTGACTTCTGATCAAGACAGAATTTACTACTACTTGTCGAAAAGGTTTTAGCAACAAAAAATAAAAATAAAGTGCTAGTGTCAAGCAAATATGACATTTGAAATTACTAGAACATCTACAGATAAAATACTATTTTAAGTATTAACGTTTTATTAATTGGCCTTTGGCATCAAGACACACTCTATAAATATGTTGATCTCTATAGCTGTGTGGGCATCTGCCCATACCCACAATGCCTAGCTCATAGCCCTGTGGACATTTGTGGATGTAGTTTTTCAAGTATGACATTTAATGTATACATATCCTGGCCATTTTGCCTATTAGGTAAAATTTTATGAGTGCGTCTGATCTCCTAGTCTCACATTAAAAAATATTTCAACTTTATGAACATTACATTAAAAGGAGTGTCCCTTTAAGATGAGCAAACCAGCACTCAATCCAGCAATACTGGGCTATAATTTTTTTATAAGAAGATCTCTACATGATTTCCATGCTGGCTTGCTCAAAAGGTTACACCACTGAGTGACACCGCACTGAAAAGTGAATTTAATGGTTTCATTTCATATTTTCACACATATTTACGATTCCATTATTAGCTTCTCTGTATATTCTGCAGAGATCCAGTCAAACTAAACATCTGTATGATTAACAAAAAAAAATGGAATTGTAAAATAAATTCAGTTACCAGTAAAGGGATACTGTATCTGTTACTTAGCCTGCTGTCGAAGATGGGTTTTGTGATTAAAAGCATTTCCTTTGATTGGTATTAAAAAAATTAAACATTTCAAAAAAACAAACAAAAACAAAATAAAGAATAACAGATGTTCGGTGGTCTTTTAGCCATGATTCATAGTAGCTTAAGAAGACCTGTTCATGGGTGGTTGGGCTACAAATTATGCACCATCATTGTTCTAAAAAATCCAATAAATATATTTAAATGTGATTAAAAATTAGTTTGTGTGTCTTTTAAAAGGATGCCGTGATTTTTCATGTATTTTCCTGTCATTGTACAACAGTAGGTTTTAAAAATGCAGATATAAATCTTTTGAAGAATAATGGAAAAACAAAAAAACAAAAACAATATACAGTAAAAGTTCTCTTGCTGAGAGGGTTACGTCCTGGGAGATGTGCACATATAAGCAGGATAACCCCCGCTCTACACAAGTGAAAAGCACCAAAAAATAGCACCATTTATTACAGTGCTGTGGATTAGCTGAGGTACAATGGCCACAATGGTAGCTGTAATAATCTCATATCCAGCGACTGTATGGTCCCGTAACCTTGGTATAGGCATAGGAGGATGCAGTGGTAGAAGAGTTTGTAAATATAGTAGCTGCCTGTCGAGTTGGGATGATGTCGGTCTTCTCGATTGGTGGGGTTTCTGTAGTGGCAGCACCTCCCCACTTTCTTTTTTTGCCAAAGCTTTTGACTTCCGTCTTGATGCCTAGCCTGGCAGCTTCCTCTTGCTTCGCCCGTGTCCGCTCTGCCAGTAGCTTCATTTTGGCTTCCCAAAGTGCCAGTCCATGGTTGGGTTGATTTAAATTTTTGTGTTGATAAAACACCAGGGAGATGCGGGTTGGGTGACATCTGTTGGGTCTCTTCACGGGTGTAGTGGCATGAAGCTCTCTTCTTGCACATTCAATGAGTATGGACCCATGGGCTGGTGCAACAGCGACCCCTCCAATATTCTCATCTAAGAAGTTGTGCTCACTGTCAGACCAGATTTCCTCCTCTTCCTCTTCTTTTACGTTCTTCACATTAGCATCACCCACATTGTCATCTAGACTGTAAGGGTCCCAGAGCATCTGACTGTCATCTGTTTTCAAGGAGTTCACTGCAGGATTAGCAAAGAGATTCCACGCCTTCTCTTGCAGCCCAGTACTTGGGGTAACACTGCACCTATCACTGGAAGCAACTGAATTCCAAAGTTTTTCTTGGAACACTGCAGTTTCCTTCATGACTTGGCCAGTATTCCAGTTTTTCTCATGTGTATTTGCAGATGAGGGCAGTACAACAGGACTATCATTGAGTTTGCATGAGCTCCAGACCTTTCCTTGAGAGTGTGCATCATGTTGGCTTGTTTGACTATCCATTCCATATGTGTTCCATTGTTTTTCCCTTCTGTGCAGGTTCTTCAATTCTATTCCATTTGCATGAACACCAAAATAATTTCTCTTCTCTAGACTGTTTGCCAAGTTTATTTTCTCACCTGACATAAACACACTGCTGTGACTTTCAGCATTAGTCCTTTCAGATGATGAGAGCACTCCATTTGGTTTATATGGAATTGACTGATCACTGTTCTGTGATGATCGGTTTACACCTGGACTCGGAGCATGGACACTTGATGCTCTTTGGAAAGCATCTACATGTGGCAGGTCACTAGCAGGTTCCTTCTTAATTGCTTTATTAAAGCAGGAAAGGTTCTGTGAATATGGAGTGGTGTCCAATGGAACAGGGGTAGTCCGATGGGAAAGGCTTGATGATTTTTGACTGGTGGGATCCTGGAGGCTGTACTGATGTGACAGGTCACTTGACCTCATGAAACCTTGTTCTGATATTTCATAACTATGGTTTATGCTGTCTGTCATTGACTGCATGTCTGCCTTCTTATCAAATCTGTTGCTCATCCACCCGTTGCTTCTTGTATCAGTAGCACCGTAATTCATGAACTGAGAGGAAACCACAGGGTTACTGGTAAAACCATAATATCCAAAGGGAAGAGCAAACTTTGAATGAAAGCCATTCACAGAAGGCAGGTTAGGCTGTGCATAGAAAGGATGATAGGAGTACACACTATTCATGCTGTAAGGATCTGACGGCCTGCAGCTGCCCAGCACCGAGTAACTCTCGACAACTCCATTCCCATTATACTTGAAGGTATTGTAGTGATTGTTGGGTTCCACTTTTATACAAGGGTTTACCTGCTGTTGTAATACACCTGGTGGGAAAGCACATACAGTTTCAGTATCAACAAGTAATTACAACAGTTTATTAAAATTATTTTTTTAACAAACTGCTCACTATCTCATTATGTATTTCTGGCAATTTTCCAATGTTTTGTACAAAAATTAGGTAATGCTTCTAAACAAAAACAAAAAAATCATAATGGCAACAATGGTTCCTTTGTAACTATTCATTCACTAAAGTGAGAATTCAAAGTAAAATCCAAATAGTGAAACTGGATACATGCTCTAAGTCAGCCATGCTTTTAGTTTGGCTACCATGGCCTTAAATTAAAATTCACTTTGAATTCCCACTTTAGTAGATAAACCCTGTGGGTTTTGTAACGAATACTCACATATAAAAGTATTTGTGCACACACAAAGAAAGCTATTTATACACAGACAGGGGTTAACTTGTGGTGGTGGTTTGGAGTGGAAAAACACGTGTTCAGATAAAGTCTCAATTTTAAAAATCTGATAAACAGATCTCAGAAAAAAACATTGCAGTGTTTGCTCCCCAATAGCACTTTGATGTTTACTCACTGAAATGGGG